AAATAACTCATTTTGCAATGGAGTTAATACTTTTTGTGACTTTAAATGGTACTTGTATTGTTCATTTGCTATTTATATTATTGTTAATGCATTTAACACAAAAATTACACATAATGTTGAGATACAAAACAAAAATAATTGAGATGGTATTTCTAAATATCGCATTAAAACGCCCAACAAAGGATTTGTCAGATTTTTTCAAGAAAACATTAAATGGCATTAAGTTTGACTAAATAGGTTCTAAATGACTCTATCACCACCCAAAATATTTGCATCGACCTACCAAACCCCCTGTATAATTGAATCTTTAGGCATTAATTTTGTAGGATTTTGAGGATTTTGAAAAAAACTTCACGTGATTCTAAAAAATTTTAGATTTATGAGATTTTAGGTAATTTTGGATCATTTTAGAAACGGGTTTTATGACGTTTCTACCAACTAATTTAGGAGAGCCCTAACGATAAATATTCCATGGGAATTCCGCGAAAATTTTTGTTAATTCCGTAGAAATTCCTCAGAATCTTTCACTTTATGGAAATCCTTGAAATTCCATTCAAATGACAAATTTGAATAGAAAAACAGAAAATCCTAGAAATTTTATTATAAGATTTCATAATACTTTTTCGAATTCCACCATAAAATTCAATGGAATTCTTGTACAAAAATTCCTCGGAATTACAGTAAAAGATTTCATGTAAATTTCGACAGAAATTACTCAGAATTTCACTAAAATTTAATTCAAGTTTTCAGAATTTTTCGTGGTTCCATGGAAATTTCACGGAAAATTTTGTTTAATTCCGAGGGAATTTTTCGGTTTCCATATAATTCCACTGGAATTCCACAATAAGATTTCAAGGAATTCCATGTAGGTGTAATTCTACGACTATTCCTTGGAATTTGTCCAACATCGAACACAATCCTCCAAATTTTCCATAAATTTTTCCAAATTTCCTATAAATTCCCTAAGTTTCTAACAAAGAATTCCAAGGTGATTTGCCTCTTGAAAAAAACAGTCTCACACTTTCAAAGTTTTCCTGGAAAACTAATTCAGGGAAAAGTTGAAACTTTTTGCATATAAAGAGGAAGATTAGAAGCTTATTTTCTCAAAATTTCAAATTTTTCCAGTGGAAAATAACAATATAAAGAATCTTGGAAATCAACCTACAATAACTGAATTATTTGAAAATACAGTCTCACACATTTCAACATTTTTTTGGAAAACTAGTAAACGGAAAAATTTGAAACTTTTTGCATGTGAAGAAGAAAGTTAGAGACTCATTTTCCCATAATTTCAAATTTTTCCATTGGGAAATAGCAACATAAGGAACCTTGGAAATCAACTTACAAAAGCTGAAATAATTGTTAATACAGTCTCACGCAATTCAAAGTTTTCCTGGAAAATTCGAGGGAAAACTAATCAGGAGAAAATTTTGAAACTTTTTGCATGTAAAGAGGAAAGTCAGAGACTTATTTTCCCAAAATTTCAAATTTTTCTAGTGGAAAATGACAACATGAAGAATCTTAGAAATCAACCTCCAATAAGTCCAATAAATGAATTAATTGAAAATACAATCTCACACATTTTAAAGTTTTCCTGAAAAGTAGTGAGGAAAAAATTTTGAAACTTTTTGTATGTGAGAAAAAAGGTGAAGGCTCATTTTCCTAAAATTTCAAATTTTTCCAGTAAAAAATAGGATTTCGGAAAGATTTCGAAGGATTATTCACTGTGACAAGATTTCAAATTTAGAGCGATTTTGAGGGATTTTGGGTGATTTCGAAGGATTTCGGGTAAATTCGAAGGATTTTGGGAAATTTCGGAGAATTTCAGGTGATTTCACAAAGATTTTAATTTGATTCCAGACACTGGCGTAGCCAGGGGGGGGGCAAGGGGGCATTTGCCCCCCCCAAGACCCTTACATTTTATGAATATTTCTTCAAAATTAAGATAAACAGTCCCAAAAATAGCGTAAAGAAACCTGAAAAAGGGGCGTGGCACCCAAAAATTTCGCGCCTGCGGCGCTAAGCCTCCGGCAGCGGTCGCGGTAGGGCCGCAAAAGACGCTTCCTGCAAATTTGCCCCCCCCAAGACAAAATCCTGGCTACGCCACTGATTCCAGACTGTTACTTATCTTATAAGTCTATTCAAAAGTATATTAGTATAAACTGAAAAACGGCGCGTTGGCTGATTTATGAATTTTGAGCCAATGACGAGGGATTTTTGGGTTAACGGAAAGATTTCTGAAAGATTCCGGAGGGATTTTGGAGTGATTTCGTGAATTTCAGACTAATTTGTGACACGATTTCGGAGAGTGATTAACCCCTCGAAGATTTCATCAAAATTCTTTGGAATTTCACTAAAATTTTAAATTATTCCATGGAAATTCTGCGAAAATTTTAAGTAATTCCATAGAAATACCATAACATTTCAAAGATTTTATGGAATTCTTGGACAAAATTTTTTCGGAATTACAGTATAGAATTTCATGAAATTCCTCGGAATTCCACTAAGATTTCAATTTCAAAATTCCATATTTTTTTTTTAACATTACTAAAATTCCCCAAAATTTTACCACTGAAATTCCACAAAATTTTCATAAAATTCTTCGGAATTTCATTGACATTTCATGTAATTTCTTAAAAATTCCTCGGAATTCACTTAAATTTTATAAGAATATTCACGTTCATAGCTGAAAATTTCTCGAAAGTCCAATGAAACTTCAAGGAATTTTTCAAAATTTAATTTATTATTTTTCGGAATTTCACTGAAATTCTCTTTTAATTGCCAGGAATTTCTGAGAATATTAATGAAGTTTCAAGTAATTTCTTAAAAATTCATCGAAATATATTGAAATTTCATGTCATTACATGGGAATTTTTCGGAATATCACCGAAATTCCATGTTTTTAGCTGGAAATTCTTCGGCATTGATTCCGAAATTTCACTGAAATTTCAAATAATTCGAGATGGATTAAAATTTAATGTGAATTCTATGGAAACTCCGCAAAAATTTCACATCTAATTCCTTTTTCAGAATAACATAATTATTCTACCGAAATTCCTGGAAATTCCACTAAATTATGAAATTCTGAAACTTTAACAGATTTTTGGGGATTCCAAAAAATATTTTGGGAATTTTAAAGAAAATATTTTTCAGGAATGTTAATGATTTTATTTTGAATATTTCCGATGTTTGATTGGCTCCAAATTATCCGCTGACCAATAGAATTATAGACTGGGGGGCCCCGTGATTAAAATAACTCTAGCCCTTCCGGCTCACGTATAACTCCGGCCCTTCGGGCTCGCATATTACTCCGGCCCTTTAAACTCGCGAATAACTTTAGCCCTTCGGGTGTCTAATTCGTTGGGAAATAAATCTAGAGGCAATCAAGAGCCAATAGGAGTCAAAAATTGCAATTATCAAGAGCAATTTAGACTTTTCATTGGATATACAAGCTATCAATTTATGACGTCACAGTAATCATCAGTAATAAATTTTGAAAAATCTTACATTTCTTTGACGACTTCTAAAAGTTTATTTGCTGAATTGGTTTCCCGCCGCTTGACATATTTAAAATCAACCAATAGGATCATTATTCGCTTTTCACCATTCACGATTCGCAAGTATTCATATAAACTAAGCTTAACAAAGTTTTGCATTTTTGTTATATAAAAGTTACATAAATGTGACTTTAATTTACGTAAATCTTAAATAATTTAATTTTATATCCTCAGCTTTATTCGCTTCTACTACATAATCAACTACATAAAATTCTTTGTTCTATTTTCAGCCATTATAATTAGTTACAAATTTTTAGTTTTCATAATATTGGTAACAGCTTGTACAATAAACCCTATTTTTGAAACCTATTGGTCCATTTATTTAATACACAAACGGAATCAATAAATTACCTGTTTTGTTTTAATGTTGATCATCATCAGGCCGGAGCGGCAGATCAATCCGTCATGTCAACATCGTATGTGTGGAGGCCACCGTACGGCAGACGAGATGCTCGTGTGAAATCGTCACGTGTTGTGTAGGACGCGGCTAAACCCAGGTAATCCGACATAATACGGTTGTGTCATGTCATTCTGTCACGCTCGAGGGTTCAAACGTTTCTAGCCCCCGCACATTTCGCACTCCCTCTTCGCTGATCTATTGATATGTATAAGCTAGCAGGGGTGGGTGCTGGAATTTTATTATGGGATTTCGACTAAGTCCGAACACTTGTGTTAAGTGGCCGTATCAAATATTTAATTGGAAAAAATTTTAAATGAAAAATCAGGTCACTTGTTAATGAAGTTTTCAAGAAACTTTTCTACTTGAGCAACTTTCAAATAAAGCAGGCGGCAAAAGGGTTGAGATGGTGTCGTGTTTTGCGGCTCGACGATGCAGAAAGTTGGCGAAACATCGCGCCCTCTCAACTCCCGGGCTTGTACGCTTTTCAAAGTTGCTTGTCTTGTGAGAAGTTTCCAGTTTCTCGATTGGTTGATTGAAAACCGAAGCAACATAAAACTTTTTTTTATTATTTCTCATGTTTTTTTTTTTGTAGTTTGAAAGATAAAAATAACATAGGCTTCTTGGAAACATGCAATATAAAATTAATAGCCGCTGTTTATCCATATATACAAGGCTTCTAAGGTAATCCAGAGCGTGCGAAATGGTCCAGCTGACTCCGCCCTCTCTCGCTCCGACTCAGCCCCGGGGTTAATGATGACGTGTTGTGGCTCGGCTCGGGCAACCTACGGACTATTTCACTTCTGGCGGTCCGATAAATCTTCGACCCGGAGGCAATTTCGTTGCCTTTAGGGCCGCACAAAACCGATGAAAAATTATCGTATCTTCAAAATGTTTGTTTCCTTCGACAGCCCATTATTATCACTAACACAGTAATTGTTTCTTTTCTAGCGGTCCAACACGAGCGCGGTCCGCGCAAACCCAAGCTTCAACAACTTTCTAGTGTTAACAATCCTCCGGCAGCAAGTCACCCGCTTCAGTTACCCATGTCCGAAGGAGCCGCTAGTAAAATAACCCCGACATCCAATCCATTCCCGTTCACGCATCACAGTTTGTTCGTTCCGCCGCACCATCCTTTGAAAGTACTCACTTTTCCGCCTCCGCCACCAGGACCCAACGTGGATCAGTCGCCGTTGTTTCATCATCCGCAGTTGCCGCCTCCGCCGGGACTGTTGCACGTGCTCATGTCGGCGGAAAAATGTCAGGAATTAGTTTGGGGTACGAAAATATCCCAGCTCGAATCGTCGGCTTCGGAATCGAGCAGCGGATTGAGTATGTCCAGTCCTGGACTGCCTCTGGCTCAATTGAGTCCTACTTTACCGCCACCTTTACCTTTGACACCTACTTGGGAAATGTTACAGGTAAGAAATTTATATTTAAAATCATGAAATTTCAATTACATAAACCAAATTTCAGCTAGTTATATTGTAAATAATGTAATGTAATATTATAAAGATGCTGAGTAAGCGGTACTGCACTGGAAAAGTACCATTATATCAAGGTTAAAGATTTCGCCTACGCGATTGCAACCGTCAGCAATATTTTATTATAAATACGGCTCGCAGAGCTTCGCAGTTTTTCATTTGTATTCTAGCTTAGACTAAAGCAATTTGAATCAAGATTCTTTCGTCCTTATAGTTTTTAATAAAATAAATAGTTTTTAAAAACAAAATTTACTGAACTAAAAATATAATTAGCTCACAAGCTTTCTTATCTAGTTTTCAATAATAAAAACTTGTTTATATTATTCACTTCCAATATACATAACTCGTTCGAATATGACATACCGATTATATTTGAGGCTTAGGATCCCCTTTGATTAAAAATACACATCTCAAATCGAAATTATCTAAATCATAAACCATCTAAAGTATTATACACATTCTTCTTGCAATTTCAAACCACTACACACAAAATAGGCGTATCCTCGTCTCCGTTTTAGAGCCAACGAGAAATTCGCAGTCGAAAAGTCAGCACGAATGAAAGTCAAGGACCCTCCCCTTATCCCGACTAAAATCCCTCAGGACTCTAATAATTTTTGAATTGTTCCACAGGAAACAACCGCTCGATTGTTGTTCATGGCGGTGCGATGGGTTCGGTGCCTGGCACCATTTCAAACTTTAAGCAAAAACGACCAGCTTTTGTTGCTGCAAGAATCCTGGAAGGAATTGTTTCTGTTGCACTTGGCCCAGTGGTCGGTGCCGTGGGACTTGTCGGCCGTTTTGGATTGTAATCAGGCCAGGGAACGATTGCCGAACGACGTTCATACCGCTACGGAAATAAAAACTATACAGGTAAATTATTGGTTTGTGTCTTTTTGTTTGGGTTTTATTGGGTAATTTTGCAGGAAATAATGTGCAGGTTTCGTCAAATATCGCCGGACGGCAGCGAATGCGGTTGCATGAAGGCTATAATTTTGTTTACTCCTGGTAAGTCTTGAATTATTTTGAAGTAGTGTTAGACATTTTTCAGTATTTTACTTGAGACAGCTTTTTAATCAGTAAAATGCTGTTTTTACCCACTTTTGAACCTCAATCAGCAATTTACTTAATTATCAGTCTTTCAAATACGATTCTGAGTTAAAAAAATTAGTGATTTTATTCTGGAGAATTCAAAATTGATATCATTTGAATCACAAATCAAAGAGTTAGGCTATGGATCTGTATCTGTATCTATAAGTTTGGCCACATTAGGCCCATTATGCGCCTCCACAAAAGAAGAGGTAATTTTTAAAAAGTAGTGAAAATTCAGTCAAAATGACTGAAAGTCATAACAAAGGATTTATGAGCAAATAAGTGGAAATAAGATAGAAAAATAGATAATAAATTGACAATGGTAGGGTTTCCATACGTCCGGATTTACCCGGACATGTTTGGGTTTTTAGGGTGTCCGGGGAAGTCCGGCCGGAATTCGGAACAACATCCGGAAAACTCGGAGATCGTGAAAACACTCATACTCAGTTTACACAGACTATCCAAAAACGTAAAATTTCACTTCACGCATTAGTAAGTAAAGTAAGCCACTTTACATATTAAGCAATTTTTCGCGAGGATAACCAAGCATACTCGAGTATGATGGATTATGTGATGTGTCATTTATGTCATACTCCCCTAACTCACCTCACTCGAAGATTAAGAACACTTAACTTCTTCTGTGAAAACAGACCGAAAATCACCTTTCCTACATTTAAAACCGACGAAAAAATTAACTCACTAGCACAGCCTAAATCACAAGCATTCCATCGTGGTCTGCGGGTGACGTCATCACTATAAGCTACTGGTAGTAACGTCATTCGCAGGCCCAGAATTCAATGGTGAGGGAGTTAGGCGAGAATGACACAGTTGACATATTATCACATAACCCAGTACAGCATAATTAGATTATGCTTGATTATCCTCGCGAAAAATTGCCTACTAGTGCGTGAAATAATATCAATGACAGATGTCGACAATGTCATTTTTTTCTAGTAAATTTCTTCACTTTACATACTAGTGCGTAAAGGCGTAAAGTATTTGTCTAAATTCATTGTTTTACATATATTTTATTGGTAGTAGAAATTTTTTAGTATATTATGCAATACGTGTGTAAAGTGAACCTTTTTTCATGGATGTGAATTTTGTCGCACTCGCCTTTCACTTTACACACTTTCAATAGCTATTTCAGCGAAGTCCGGATTTTGTCCGGATTTCTTGAATCCTTTGTCCTGAATTCCGAAAAAAATTTATGGAAACCCTAGACAATGGGAAATATGTGGAAACTGAAACTTCACCTGCTTTGTAACTCAGGGCCGTAGCTAGAGTCAAATTTGTGATAGGGCATGACAAATTTGACATAGGGCATACACTACTTGCCCCCCATCCTAAAATTTTAGGTAAACAATCTGGTGGTAAAGGCGCCGAAGGAAATTTTTTTAATAAATAACATCTCTGGCAAGTAAACAAAATGGCGCTGATTCTCGCGCCGCCTTGTACCATTCGCACCAAGGATAATACACACTAATACTGAAATCCATTGGTAAGTTCAGAGCGCACTGAGTGCATTCGTACCCTCCTCTACTAGCATGATTTAAAAGAAAATGACAGAAATACATGTTTTTTGCACTAATTTCACCAATGGTTTTGCCATACTACTATTACAGGATAGCTCTCAAGCCCCACACCACGCCAAAGAACCAGTGATTACGTAGGCAGCGTGTCGTTTTTTGCCTTGGTGTAGGGTGTTTTCACCACAGGTTATGATCCCATGATAACATTTTTCATCATAAATGTATATTCTAAACTAGAACCGCTGGCACAAACAGCTGACGACGTAGTTGATGATGTCGTCAATAGTGTTACATCATATGGCCGCAATTTCCACAAATTTGGCCGATAAGCAATCCTCTGTAGTAGTGTGTATTATCGTATTATCCTTGAATTTGCACTCTTTCGAAACGAAAAACTTCCTCTGTGTAAACGTCAAACATTGTTGCATACATTTAGGAGTTTCCAGAAACACTTATCTTCGTACTTACTCGATTTCAGGCCTTTTCATTATCTACTCTTAAATTTCCTAGAGAAACCTTGATGCATGTTGCGTTTTAAAGGTAGGGCATGATCATTTGAAAGATAGGGCATTGCCTCCCTGCCCTGTTGTAACTATAACGAACGACTTTACACTGCACCAGAATCTGTGACCAGAACTGAATGAATCCAGAGCAACTTGAGGCATCTTTTATTTAGCGAGTTTGATGACGCTTTTAGTTTATCAGTTACAAGTCAGGCGACGTTTTCCAAAGACCCAGGGGTCAAGAGTCGTGGTTGTGAGACATCATCATCGCACTCTTTTCGAAACCGACTAATAGTCTTTGGCTTTTGGTACAGTTTCGTCAGAAATTTGGCAATTTAATCTAGCTGGTAAAAAGCCAATTAATTGTATTACAAAGCAAAAAGAAAGAAAAAAGATTTTAAGGCCAGTTTGTTACACATTCTAGTGATTCCAGGATGACACAAAGCTTGATGTAAATCGAATAAAGTTTTCTGACTATTTGAACCACATATTCGTCAAAATGTATCAGCTACTACGTTTTCTCGTCCTGAAGGTGGGGCACGAAAAACTTCCCACCCGGGTTTTCTTAGGTGTCAGGTGATTAATTGAAAATCGCTCGGATACGTCAATTTTTGTTTTCTGGGGTACATCTTCTATTGGTATTTTCACAGGTACCACCAAAATTTCAATAGGAAAGGGGGGTCGAGTGATTCCCCATTTGATAGATATTTTCAATAAGAATATATTCTCAAAGTTTTAAGTTGCTACTATTTACTCTGCCGAAATGGTGGCTTGTCGAAGTTAGGAAAAGTGCTTTTTCCAAGTATCTGAACTGTGTGGTTTTTACCACATAATAACAGAACAACATATTTTTAAAGGGCATAGTAATAAAATACCATTGGTATTTAATTAAGGTATTGTCATCCAACACAAGGACGTAGCAAATCAAAAGCGGGCCCTGGTGCAAGACTAGAGCACAGCGGGCCCACTACACCATGGGCATATCGGAAATTTCAAACTTTCAAATTCATTGACTGTTGAGGATTATGGGCAAAATGGCTCATGGCAAATTCGTAAGCGAGAAATTTTTGGGAGGTTAACCGACGATAGCTATTTTTGTAAGTAGGTAAAGTTTGTTTCGCCAAGGTTTGTACTTGCCACCAGCATTTATCTTCCTTGTTTAACAAATAAAAATTGACTGAAATAAATCAATGACGTCAAAAACGTTTGTCGGTTCTTAACCAAAAGTCATTCATTTTAATTTGTCAAAAAAATTGCATGTGTCATATGAATCAATCTACGACAACCCTTTTTTTTCAAGTTTCAAGGTCAAGTATGAACCCTGGTGAAACGGACCTTACCTAAAATGAGTTTTTTCGGCAACCGTTGTGAAAGTACATACCTTTCGAACGCGCTTTACTTAAGAAAATATGCCTTTTTAAGCTTAGGCCGGGATGTGATTACTTAGGCCAAGAAGCGATTATATACTTTCCGGCCTAGTCTGGAAAGTATGCTCTATTCGTAATACTCCTGGAAAGTGTTTTTTTGGACTCGCAGACTGGAATTTTGTCTAGTCGTCCAAAAAAACAGTACTTTCCAGACTCCTCACGCAATTTTTGATGAGACTAAAAACATCCAAAAATTGATTGAATTTCGTTGACAAAAATGTAAAGTAAATGTGACATCGAAAATTGATTGCGCATTGGCATTGGGTATATTCAGGGGGTCCCAGCGGCTAAGCTCAGCCACTCAGCAGGGACTTTATTCTCGAAACCGACGAACAGCGTTCTCATAAGAACGATTGCTCTGTCATTGTCAGTGTTATGGAAATATGAATACGGACGACGAAGACAGAACCTTCCTTTTCATTAGGACGCTGCTCCTCTGTTTTGAGAATAAAGTCCCTGCTGCGTGGCTGAACTTAGCCGCAGGCACCGCCTGAATGTATCCATTGTTGTGGCAAGAGCGGCAGGTAATTTTTTTCTGACTGCTATAACGACTTTTAGGGACTAGGCCGAAAATTTCGAACTGAAATGGGTCCGTAAAATCCTTGCGTAAAATAGACATTTTTGAGAGCTAATACACGACTGAGATTGACAATATTGACACGAGTAATACGAGTACTAGGAGTCGGAAGACTGACTGAGATCGATATTACAGTTTTCTGTTTCGGTTTAAAATTGCCAAAGCGAATATTGCTTGGGTTTTTTTTTTTCTTGTACCTTTGTTGTGTCCAAAAAGTAGCAGAACACGCCCGGGCCCCTTCGGGGCCCGGGCCCTTGTGCGCGGCACGACCTGTTGCTACGTCCCTGATCCAACAGTTCAGCTTAAAATGGTTCATGTTTATTCACTTGAAAAATCTGTTGTTTTGTTATTTTGAGCTAAAAAACAAGCAAATTTCACAAGCCCTCATTTCGACAGGGTTAATAGTAGCAATTTGAAACTTTGGGAATATAATTCTAATAAAAATAGCTATCCAATGGCGTATCACTCGACCCCCCTTTCCTATTGAAATTTTGGTAGTACCTGTCACCCCCGCCTAGGGGTTGACAGGTAGGGCGTGAAAATACCAATAAAAGATGTCCCCCAAAAAACAAAAATTAACGTGTCTGAGCGATTTTTAATTAATCACCTGACACCTGAGAAAACTTGGGTGAGAAGTTTTTCGTGCCCTACCCTGTATATACTACATCAAAGCTGTAACATGATAGTTCAAGTCGCCATCTTAAAATCTCCTCATTTTTTATTTTGCTACTGTGTTTGGTATCAGACATAAAAGATACAGATTTTTGAGTCAGCTGAAAATGACGACCAATCAGAAATGAATAAAAATTCTTTTAAATTATTATCCTGGTCTGCTTGATTTCTACCGCATATCGTAATATCATCTAAATATGCATAGACTTCAAGATTCTCTGATTTTATTATGTAGTCTCCATTACCCGGTGAAAATACGCAACTCCGTTTGTCACACCAAAAGGAATTCTTCGAAACTTGATATAATTTACCATCTGCTTCAAAAGCATTATAGGAGGAACTTGGTGATACGCACTTTGTAAACCTATAGTACTAAAAATTTTGAATTTCATGAGGGGGTTGTAAACCAGTGGCAACTCGTGGTCTATGCTGGAAAGGGTTTCAGTTTTAGATCAGATGATGTATAAGTAACCTCGCATAGCCGGCGCAGGATATCGCCGAAGGCGAAAAATTTTTTGGGATCCACGCCCAAAAACGTTTATTTTTCAAAAAAATAAATAATTTATTCAGTTCAGGGGTTTGAGGTTTGAACCCCCAAAACCTCCCCCTTATATACGTCCTTGTCAATAGAAATAAAGTATCTATCTTCTATTGAAAATCGTCTAGACTTTGTTGCAATTGGCCTGCAGTCGGCTGATACATTTGAAAATAATGTAGGCGGATCAATTTCTAGGAACGTCAAACTACAAATCGATGATGAATTGTCAATAAACAAGGGAGGCTTAGAACCTCCAAAAGATACTTCAAGGGTTGAATGCTGTCTAAGAATATTATGACCTAATGACATCAGTACATAAATCAGAAAGAACTGATAAACGTAATGTATGTATGTATGCCCCATCATTTCTAAGTCTACAGAGCAATAACCTGATATTTGAGACTGTAAGACTGTTGTGGCCATTAGTATATATCCAGTGTAGGAACATCAATAAATGAGACAAAAGTTTTATTACTGTATGTTTCAGGACTCCCTGTATCTACTAAAGTATCAGTAACGACCATAGGGGCCGGAATTTTAAAGGAACTCAGGCTCCAAAAACTAACATATAAGTAGAATTAATTATACAGACAGGAGGGGGCAAATTTGCAGGAACAGGAAATGATCCTTGCAGCTCCGCCAGTCTGCAGCCATCGCTTCACTCAATATACCCACTACACCCGCCCCCATAGCAAATTCACTACGGGGGCGCAAGCACCCATTGCCCCTATGGTTTCGGCGCCTATGATGGCAATGACATGGTTCAATTTAATTTTGATAAGGCATTTGGTTAAACTTCCAAGTTCCGCACTAAGGTATAACGGAGGCGAAGTTTTGACTTTTCTTTTGCTTAGACATATCTTGAAGAATCGTCCACGTTTACCGCATTCAATACACGTTAAATCTTTAGCAGGGTATAACGTGGAAAAATGTCTTTTAGTACTTCCACAGAAATAACATTTGTACACTTTCGTAGCAGCGGAAATGAGACCTTCATATGTTTCTCTACACACTTTCAGATTGAATTGAGTTGATTACACCATTCACACCTTGAGGGATGCTATATGCTTCTAAATTTTTTTGTGTCGATTGATAGAGCTTGATTCTTGGCTTCATCAAGCTTCAGAGTGGTACCTTATTCTCCAATAATCGTTGTCGAATTTGGAAAGAGCTTAAGTCACTAATGAAAGAATCTCTAATATAGTCGTTTTCACTTTCTTCAGCGCTGACAGCTTAGAAATTACAGTCTTTACTTAGATGTTTTAGTGCTTGTAAGTACTGATCAACGGTCCCTCCAGGTAAGGCAGTATCTGGCAAATATTTCATTTTTAGGTTTAATGAAAATTGAATCCAAAAATCTTAAAAGCTTCTGAGTAAGAAGAACAGCAGGATATGTGCTCATAATTGTTGTGGCTTACATAGTTCACCAAGAGTTTCAGTTACCCATCATTTTCTAACTTATCAACGGATGATATGAAATTGTTGAAAGTTGCTTTCCAGTGAGTCCACTATCGTGCAGCTTTTGGAGAGTTTTGATCAGCGTCGAATCGTTCAGGTCTTAAGAGTTTATCCATCTTATGAAAAACTAATGATAATAACAAATACAATATGATAATAATTAATATTGGTAACAAAAACTACCTCTACAATGTGTCTAAGATAAGGAGGGCCAGTATGGGGATTTCGGAAACAGTGAAAGATACGACATTGCTTAAATTAGGAAACAGTTGCGCAATTTTGTGCTCATCAAAATACCGCTCTGATATTTCGAAAATTCCGTGTGATACCAGAGATATCTGGGAAAACCCGAAATTCGACCAGAAGGATTTTATTTTTTTCTAACCTTATTTGATGAGATATTTCAAAATAAATGGAACTTCTTCATGGCCACTTTTCCTCTTCTACAATATGGCATTTCGTCTTTGGGAGACTTTATCATCAGATCCCCATACTGACCCTCCTTATCTTGGACACATTGTATACCTACTTACAGAATATATCAAAAGTACCACACCTATTAAAAAAATTCTAAAGCATAATTTCTTATCTAAATTATTTAGAAACTTCCGGTCTGTGTGACGTTCAACCAGTCGAAATGTTGCAAGATCAAGCCCAATGCATCTTGGGAGATTACGTCCGGATGCGTTATCCACGACAACCGACCAGATTTGGCAGGCTCCTGTTGCTCGTGCCCAGCCTGAGAGCCATCAGATCGATGACTGTCGAATTGTTGTTTTTCAAGGAAACCATCGGGGAAATACCGATAACTCAGCTACTAGGCGACATGTATTATATGGAAAAATGCGCCACTGGAACACAATAATAATCCAGAATAATGTTTAACCTCTATAATTTTGTACTAGTCTTTTTTCTGTGATATTGATTGTTATTTATTAAAACTTATTTGTAATTATTATCAATTTAGCCTAGAATATTAAGATTCCAAAAAAAAAAACATGTGTTTATGTAAGTGTATAATAAAACTATTACCGCAGTGTGTTTTATTCTTTAATAGCTTGCAAAATAATTTTGGTAAGCTCAAAATCCTCATAATATAAATTTTCAATTACATCAAAATGATCAACTTTAGGAATTACATTTAAATAACACTTTACTTGATTTTGTTGCAATTTTTCATAAAACTCTTCACTTTGCTTTACAAATGCAGGACTATCCCATTCACTAGCAAAAATGTAAATAGCAATTTTGCCGTAGTTAATTTTTCCATTTAAAAGTGGGCTAAAATCTTTGGCCTCTTGAGAAGATAGTTTTAGTAAATCGTTTGCCGACATTTGAATTAGAGGCTCTAAATTGTAGATTCCACATAGTAAAAAGACAGATTTAATTAAATCAGTTTTCAGGTTTTGGAGGATATAGGCAATGGCATGAGCTCCTACTGAGTGACCAGAAATATACATTCCTCTAAAAAAAATAGGTATTGTATAGTTTATACGAAGTCAATCCGAATAGCCTAAAAAATGCGTGCAACAGCTTAGGAATTCCTAAAAATGAAGAATATTCTGCTTAATTCCTTGAAGAAGATGCCACCTACATAATTTTTATGCTTTCCGGATTGACTTCATAACAACATTATCTAGACTCACCTAGAATTCAATTTTACAGCATATTTTAAACACTCCTTAAGTCCATTTGAAATGCCATCCAAAATTTGCCTTAAAGTTTTCTGCTGGCATAATTCATAGCCTAATAAAATAGTTTTAATGCCATTTTCATAAAAAATATTGGAAATAAATCCATTATTCGTATGTGTTAGAGCTTCTTCTTGATAATAACCTCCGTGGATGTGAATTAAAATTGGAGAATCGTCTTTTAAATCTGTTCCATATACATCAAACTTTTCTCTAGGGCTTTGCCCATACGATATGGATTCTGAAGGGATTTTTTCTTTTGCAAGTTTACTGTCTGAAAATTATTCAATATTGAACCAATATTATGTACAATCACTTACCTTACGGTTTTCTAAAAATTGAACGTGTTTTACTTGCACTTCAGTTGAGTTTCCTCTTTTTGACCATCTACTAGGCGAATATAACTTTTCCAAATTTTCCATAGTAAGGTTAAATAATGAAATCTTTAAGGCAAATAATGATTTGTAATCGCAAAGATAAAATAGTGAAGCCAAGGCCAGCAAAATAGGTCGACTACTAGTAATATACACGGTATTGTATTACGGTTATTTTAAGGTTTCTCAGGCCAGAATGTTGAAATACAACACAAGAGTCGTAAAGTAATATTCGTTTTCAATAAACTGTTGAAAAAAGTACCGAAATACATTCTTGGTTTTTAAGATAATGGAAAAATCCAGAAATTATGGAATTTTGAATTGATTTACTAAGTATATTAAGTCTCTAATCAAGCAAAAGCCGAAAATAATTCGAATTTTTGTTTTCCAAATCAAAATCCTTGATTCCCTAATTGGTCCATTTTTGTTTTTCACTTCAATTATTTATTACTATTCAACATCCTGTTTTCAAATCTCTTTTAGGTAAAATCGTTCCTAACTCTAAAAGAGATATATGAGTTGAAGTTTCCTGAAAAATACTTTGAGCCATCACAGCAACTTGAAATTTTCAGGATTCATTAACTAGAGTTTTCTCATGAAACAAAACAAGTTGGAAGTTGATATGAAACTGACAACCAAAGTTACCATTTTTTTTTTACTCATTGATACCCGAATAAATCCAAAATATCCTGTAAAATCACCTCTGAAGGTTCCTGAAAAATACTTTGAGCTATCACAGCAACTTGAATCTTTCAGGATTGATTATTTAGAGTATGTTCATGATACAAAATAAGTTAGAAGTTGATATGAAACTCACAACTAAAGTTACGAATTTTTTTACTCAATTGATACTAACCTGAAAAAAATCAAAAAAATCTTACAAAATCACCTTTGAAGGTTCCTGAAAAATACTTTGAGCCATCACAGCGACTTGAAACTTCCAGAATTTATTAATTGGAGTTTTTTCATGATACAAAACAAGTTGGAAGTTGGTATGAAACTCACAACCAAAGTTACGATTCAATACCTGAAAAAATCAGAAAGCACCTGTAAAATCACTTTTGAAGGTCCCTGAGAAATACTTTGAGCAATGTCAGCAACTTGAAACTTTCAGGATTTATTAATAAGAGTTTTTTCATGATACAAAACAAATTGCAAGTTGATATGAAAGTCACAACCAAAGTTACAATTTTTTTTTACTCATTGATACCTGAATAAATCCAAAATATCCTGTAAAATCACCTCTGAAGGTTCCTGAAAAATACTTTGAGCTATCACAGCAACTTGAATCTTTCAGGATTGATTATTTAGAGTATGTTCATGATACAAAATAAGTTAGAAGTTGATATGAAACTCACAACTAAAGTTACGAATTTTTTTACTCAATTGATACTTACCTGAAAAAAATCAAAAAAATCCTACAAAATCACTTTTGAAGGTTCCTGAAAAATACTTTGAGCCATCACAGCGACTTGAAACTTCCAGAATTTATTAATTGGAGTTTTTTCATGATACAAAACAAGTTGGAAGTTGGTATGAAACTCACAACCAAAGTTACGATTCAATACCTGAAAAAATCAGAAAACACCTGTAAAATCACTTTTGAAGGTCCCTGAGAAATACTTTGAGCAATGTCAGCAACTTGAAACTTTCAGGATTTATTAATAAGAGTTTTCTCATGAAACAAAACAAGTTGGAAGTTGATATGAAACTGACAACCAAAGTTACCATTTTTTTTTACTCATTGATACCTGAATAAATCCAAAATATCCTGTAAAATCACCTCTGAAGGTTCCTGAAAAATACTTTGAGCTATCACAGCAACTTGAATCTTTCAGGATTGATTATTTAGAGTATGTTCATGATACAAAATAAGTTAGAAGTTGATATGAAACTCACAACTAAAGTTACGAATTTTTTTACTCAATTGATACTTACCTGAAAAAAATCAAAAAAATCCTACAAAATCACTTTTGAAGGTTCCTGAAAAATACTTTGAGCCATCACAGCGACTTGAAACTTCCAGAATTTATTAATTGGAGTTTTTTCATGATACAAAACAAGTTGGAAGTTGGTATGAAACTCACAACCAAAGTTACGATTCAATACCTGAAAAAATCAGAAAACACCTGTAAAATCACTTTTGAAGGTCCCTGAGAAATACTTTGAGCAATGTCAGCAACTTGAAACTTTCAGGATTTATTAATAAGAGTTTTCTCATGAAACAAAACAAGTTGGAAGTTGATATGAAACTGACAACCAAAGTTACCATTTTTTTTTACTCATTGATACCTGAATAAATCCAAAATATCCTGTAAAATCACCTCTGAAGGTTCCTGAAAAATACTTTGAGCTATCACAGCAACTTGAATCTTTCAGGATTGATTATTTAGAGTATGTTCATGATACAAAATAAGTTAGAAGTTGATATGAAACTCACAACTAAAGTTACGAATTTTTTTACTCAATTGATACTTACCTGAAAAAAATCAAAAAAATCCTACAAAATCACTTTTGAAGGTTCCTGAAAAATACTTTGAGCCATCACAGCGACTTGAAACTTCCAGAATTTATTAATTGGAGTTTTTTCATGATACAAAACAAGTTGGAAGTTGGTATGAAACTCACAACCAAAGTTACGATTCAATACCTGAAAAAATCAGAAAACACCTGTAAAATCACTTTTGAAGGTCCCTGAGAAATACTTTGAGCAATGTCAGCAACTTGAAACTTTCAGGATTTATTAATAAGAGTTTTCTCATGAAACAAAACAAGTTGGAAGTTGATATGAAACTGACAACCAAAGTTACCATTTTTTTTTACTCATTGATACCTGAATAAATCCAAAATATCCTGTAAAATCACCTCTGAAGGTTCCTGAAAAATACTTTGAGCTATCACAGCAACTTGAATCTTTCAGGATTGATTATTTAGAGTATGTTCATGATACAAAATAAGTTAGAAGTTGATATGAAACTCACAACTAAAGTTACGAATTTTTTTACTCAATTGATACTTACCTGAAAAAAATCAAAAAAATCCTACAAAATCACTTTTGAAGGTTCCTGAAAAATACTTTGAGCCATCACAGCGACTTGAAACTTCCAGAATTTATTAATTGGAGTTTTTTCATGATACAAAACAAGTTGGAAGTTGGTATGAAACTCACAACCAAAGTTACGATTCAATACCTGAAAAAATCAGAAAACACCTGTAAAATCACTTTTGAAGGTCCCTGAGAAATACTTTGAGCAATGTCAGCAACTTGAAACTTTCAGGATTTATTAATAAGAGTTTTCTCATGAAACAAAACAAGTTGGAAGTTGATATGAAACTGACAACCAAAGTTACCATTTTTTTTTACTCATTGATACCTGAATAAATCCAAAATATCCTGTAAAATCACCTCTGAAGGTTCCTGAAAAATACTTTGAGCTATCACAGCAACTTGAATCTTTCAGGATTGATTATTTAGAGTATGTTCATGATACAAAATAAGTTAGAAGTTGATATGAAACTCACAACTAAAGTTACGAATTTTTTTACTCAATTGATACTTACCTGAAAAAAATCAAAAAAATCCTACAAAATCACTTTTGAAGGTTCCTGAAAAATACTTTGAGCCATCACAGCGACTTGAAACTTCCAGAATTTATTAATTGGAGTTTTTTCATGATACAAAACAAGTTGGAAGTTGGTATGAAACTCACAACCAAAGTTACGATTCAATACCTGAAAAAATCAGAAAACACCTGTAAAATCACTTTTGAAGGTCCCTGAGAAATACTTTGAGCAATGTCAGCAACTTGAAACTTTCAGGATTTATTAATAAGAGTTTTCTCATGAAACAAAACAAGTTGGAAGTTGATATGAAACTGACAACCAAAGTTACCATTTTTTTTTACTCATTGATACCTGAATAAATCCAAAATATCCTGTAAAATCACCTCTGAAGGTTCCTGAAAAATACTTTGAGCTATCACAGCAACTTGAATCTTTCAGGATTGATTATTTAGAGTATGTTCATGATACAAAATAAGTTAGAAGTTGATATGAAACTCACAACTAAAGTTACGAATTTTTTTACTCAATTGATACTTACCTGAAAAAAATCAAAAAAATCCTACAAAATCACTTTTGAAGGTTCCTGAAAAATACTTTGAGCCATCACAGCGACTTGAAACTTCCAGAATTTATTAATTGGAGTTTTTTCATGATACAAAACAAGTTGGAAGTTGGTATGAAACTCACAACCAAAGTTACGATTCAATACCTGAAAAAATCAGAAAACACCTGTAAAATCACTTTTGAAGGTCCCTGAGAAATACTTTGAGCAATGTCAGCAACTTGAAACTTTCAGGATTTATTAATAAGAGTTTTCTCATGAAACAAAACAAGTTGGAAGTTGATATGAAACTGACAACCAAAGTTACCATTTTTTTTTACTCATTGATACCTGAATAAATCCAAAATATCCTGTAAAATCACCTCTGAAGGTTCCTGAAAAATACTTTGAGCTATCACAGCAACTTGAATCTTTCAGGATTGATTATTTAGAGTATGTTCATGATACAAAATAAGTTAGAAGTTGATATGAAACTCACAACTAAAGTTACGAATTTTTTTACTCAATTGATACTTACCTGAAAAAAATCAAAAAAATCCTACAAAATCACTTTTGAAGGTTCCTGAAAAATACTTTGAGCCATCACAGCGACTTGAAACTTCCAGAATTTATTAATTGGAGTTTTTTCATGATGCAAAACAAGTTAGAAGTTGATATGAAATTCACAACCAAAGAAAATAAACCTCAATATTTTGAAATAGTGCAAAAACTACAACAAGCCTTCTGTATAAAAATGTTCATAATTGATTTGCCGCAATACAACTCCGTCTCTGATTTTCCTGCAATCCAACAGTCGTCGTCATAGCGACCTTTTCCAAATAAACAACCGTGGAAAATCAAACGATGGAAAAAATGGATTTAAACGAGGCTGAAGATGGAGATATCGGCTGTTACTGTAAGTATATTCACTATTAAATAAAATGCATAATTTCCTATTGCAGTTCTTCAACCCTCCGCTACTCCATACAACATTATCGAAAAACTACAACAAGCTAATTTTGAACTTTTCAACTCTACACCTCAGGCTATAAAGTCTAGCAAGGTAAAATTCAGAGATGAGCTTGTTTCATTTGAACCGGAATTGACTGATGACGATGTTAACAGCATTGAAAGTGATCATGTTGTTGATGAATTACCTCAGCAGATTGTAGCTAAAAATGATGAAGTATTGTATAATACTGTAGTACAAGAAAATGTTGATATTTATGATACTATTGAAGAGGAAATTGAAGAAACTGTTTTTGATGAATTAGTGCTTTCTGATATTGAAGTGGATAAGGTAACATTGATAACTGTTATTTTACACCTTTAAATAAGAAATTATTTCAGAACAATTCTAATGAAGAAATCCTCATGGAGAAAAAAATATCACCAATAATAATTAACGAAGACAAATCAAAAACAAAGCATAGTAAAAGAAAGAATAAATCAACATTAAAGAAACAAGATATTCATTGCAAGGAACATTGCATCGAAAGGCTGGACACTCATTTATCTATGTCCATTAAAAAGTTGGAAATACATGAAAAAACACCAGTAAGAAATCACATACATATTTCAAATATTTTTTAAAATAAAATGAGCAAATTCTTTAGGTGAATCTTCCTCCACTCCAATTGCACCAACGCAAATGCTGTGACAATCTTAAACAATCAAACACCGACAGAAATCTACCAAATTACAAAGGTTACAGGTCCGAATACGGATTGAGCTCTAGGCAAATCAAAAACCGCGACAGGTACATGGAAATGCTACGCCAAAAAGAATTATCCAGGCAAAAACTAATCGAAGATTATAGGGCGTTGCGGGTGCAACAAAACGAAGAAGTTTTCTGTCAGTGGTTGAAAAAGGTATCGAAAAGGGGTAAAGATGAGCAACAAATCAACTTTTTGAGTCCGAATGTCGATAAAGCGAAAGAGAGGCCTAAAACTGCAGGATTTACGCCTAAGACTACGATCAAGAAGAAAAAGCGACCTCATACTAGTCAATCTTGCGTTTACATTGAAGTGTCGCCTAGTGTTTTGAAAAAAGGGATTAATATTGGGGATTTACTTATTACGAATTCTAAGGCTCTTACTAAAAAGTTACATATTTTAACGGTTTGAGGTCTTAGTTTTGTCTATAGTGAAATATGATTTAAACAGAAAAATTAGAATATTGTAATCTATACATTTTATTCAATTGGGTAGCACATCAAAATGTCGTAATAATTGATAAGACATTATTGTTAAAAATGCTATAATTAATTCTGCGCGATCTTCCAGTTAAAACAATCATGCTATTATAACAATTTAAAGCTTGGTAATAATAATTAATATTTAAATATATTTGATTTAATATTGAAAAATACTGCTACTTATTAATGAATCAAACGAGGGGTGTTTCATTCATGTAGTTGGTGTACAAATATCATACATTCGTGTAGGTATATACATCAGTTCATATATTCTTCTGCAGTCCATACATTCTCATGCAGTCAATAGAATGGACTCGCATCATGCAGTCATAATACAGTCGCTTGCAATCATTATAAATTCCGTGCGGTCACATATGCAGTAGCGTATGTACATTTCTCGTATGCAGTCGCTACGAATGGAGCTGCAACCTTGTTAGATATTGCTTAAAAGCCAATACAGTACCTACTTAAACTATCATCTTTTACTGTATTCCTTTTACCCGTTGAGTTACTCAGAGCTGCTCAATGTCAAAAGCTGGAACGTTTCTTTTAAAAGTGCGTTAAGCACTCTAGTCGCTCATAGTGCATCCCCTTTTCCCCTGATGCACCAAATTTGCGGGGGGTGCAAGAAGCCCTTTTAGGTAATGAAGGTAATGTTAATTTTAAAAAATAATGATAAAATCTAAATTGTATGTTTTGGAGTCACTCCGAAGAGCTCGTTGGGTGCAACTCGATGTATAAAAGGAATACAGCATTGGATGCAATCAATGCAGTCAAATACGTGTACAAAATTTAGTCGGTGGTACACAAATCGTAATCAAATTTTCCTTTTTTTTTCTATTATTACCTATTTGTATTTTTCCAAATTTTCATGTAATAAATAGCATACCATAGACTAATAAATACAAGTCGAATAAACATCAATGCTACAAATTGTCAACAGCAGCTAAATGTAGGTAGCAAGCAAGCCCAAGTTTCTAACGGCAATCTTGGAAATCAACCACAATCTGACAACGTTACAATATTCACTAATTTGTAGCAGTGATATCATTGCTATACTTTATTTTTTTCCAAGATAGATTTTGACATTGTCAACAGGGCCGGCCCTACCATAAGGCGAACTGAGCGAGCGCTCCAGGCGCCAGACCTCGGGGGCGCCTTCGACTCGTTCCTTGGTAATACAAAAAAAGGGAAAAGTATATTTTCGCTTTGAATTCTGTCTCTGCTTTTCGATATCATGCTTCTCTGCTTGTGAGCAAATTTGTGCTTACTTAGTATGAGAATAACCTGTCCTGACGTTTTTTTGAGACGCGCACGGATCGTGGGTGTGGTGGCGCCCTTACCCGATCATTTGATCACGATATTTCGGATAGTGGTAACAGTCATCCGAAAGCAGTCCTTCAGGCGTTAGCATTTAGTAATTGGCAAGATACGTTTCCTTATATCTGGACAGCTCTCCGTATTTTTGTTACCATTCCTGTTACAGTGCCGAAAGGTGAACGGAGCTTTAGTAAGCTTAAGTTAATTAAAACTTACCTTAGCGGTCAACTCTAGCAGAAGAGAAACCTTCATATCTAGCCCTGCTGTCCATTGAAAATGTTATAGCTCAGATAATGTCATATGAGGAGATCATAAATAAATTTGCTAATGCAAAAGTATGCAAACACACAAAAATTTCGTATTTTGTTTGTTCGATTTTTATATTTATTAGGCCCGGTTTATTTATATTCAGATAAACAACCAATGGAATTAGAGATTGCATTTTTTTCGGTCGGTCAGATTGCATACCTGACAGTTTATCAGAAGCAGAAGGTGAATGAACCGGCCCTAATGGCCGTTTCCACAAACTAGAAAGTCCTCGTGCGTCAGATGCTACGCTAATACGGTACCTATCGCTAACAATACGGTATTTTACATGGTATTTTATAGTTCTCGAGCACGAAGACACATAAATCCTCTAATCCCTTATTCTGTTTACATTTTGACAGCTGAGTTGAGTAATCTAACCCCACTTTTTTTGCTTGTTTTCTAACTTTTATTTATTCTGAAGATTCCTAAGCTTGAATAATTTTCCCTTGGTGTTTTTTATGGAGGAATTATTAGAAGTTGCTGTTTTTGCAGGCATAAATGGAGCGTAAACTAGTTTTGACAGAGCATAGCGTTACGGCAAGGCATCCGGTAAGTTCCGTTAAATAGCGGGCTCCGCTAACGCTCATACCGTAAGAACTCTGTCATACTGCTTGTCAAGCGTTGTCAGCGTTACGGTATTTGAAATTTGAACGGCTCGAGAACTCTCTACTATTACGATAAGTATTTCCTAAACTGACATTTCTCCATGGAAACCTGTCAGTCTAGGGAATACTTATCGTTTAAGGCTTCCCGAAAATAACTAGTTGGTGGAAATGGCCATAAGTGTTATAAGTGATATTACCAAAGTCCAAAGTGGATTATTGATTGATCCCATCACAGAATGTGAACTAAATGTGGGTGTAAAACGCTTTAGTGCAACAAAAATTAACAAATTTTCAATAAAAATTAATGTGCGTTTTTATTCTCATCGATGGATTCACTGATGAGTTAACTATCTTTGTTTAGTGAATGGAAAATGACAATGACCGACATAGAATGGTGGATCCATCGGTAAAATTTGATGAGAATAAAAACGCAGGGTTAGTTGATATATCCTTTATACAGTTGGTTTTATATCAAATTAAGTGCGGATATTGACGTTTTTTGCCGTAGTAAGCGAATATTCACAATTTTACTTACACCTATAACCAGTAGATCTTAAACCAGTAGATATTATAACCAGTAGATATTAAACGAACTGTAACCCAAACTAACCAAAAGTATGCAAACTAACCCATACGAACCACGTAATACGTGCTAGTCCTTGTATGTTGATATTGAATTTGAAAAACAAAGCGCGCTTCGCGCGCTCTGTTGTCAATCAGTACACACCTATAACCAGTAAAACGAAACTAACCAAAAATATGCAAACTAACCAAAACTAACCCGTCCACGTAATGCATTCTAGTCTTAAAATGGTAATATTGAATTTAGAAAAACAAAAACGCGCTTCGCGCGCTTTGCTTTTAACCAGTATACTTATAATCAATAGATATTGAGCGAACTAACCAATAGTATGCAAACTAACCCAAACTAACCAGTCCACGTAATGCATGCTAGTCCTTGTATGTTGACAAACTAACCCAAACTAACGCACCTTAAAATAGAACCACTTTAATTTATAGATTTTTCTTAAAAACTAATATAATCCGCATATTTTTATATTGAAATCGGTCCAAAAAGTAGGCTAACTACAACATTAGGAATGCATCTTATAAGAAACTACGTGTTGCACTAAAGCGTTTTACCACCCTAAATGTTAGTAAATAAGAGAACTTTGTACCAACGAACAGAAATGTTTTGAATTTTCAATTGGTAAGATAAATAGAGACATTCATTGAGCTTTTGTTTGTTCCAACCCAGCAGGAAACCGTAATATTATCATCAGGATTCTGCGCAAAACCTAAAATTTTTGCATAGAAACTGAAATTCGTATACAGAGTGGTTCCTAAACCGTTCTGGGACGTTTTTTTGACGGGTTGGAACAAACCTATTAAATTAGATAATGGTCAAAATCCATACTCGCGTATGCGAATCACATTTAAACTAGGGGCGCCAAAGTCAGATCTCGCTCCATACTAAAAGTAGCCTCGGGCCGGCACTGATTGTCAACTTTGAAACATAAACAATGCCGCTAATGCCACTTATTGGCCGTTATTGTAAAACTGATGTCAACCTGCAGAAACACCTCATTTTGCGACCAATCAGGGTCAAGCGTTAGTTTATGTTTCAAAGTTTTCAATGTCAAAATCTATCTTGGGAAAAAATAAAGTATAGTTGCAGCGAATGACGTCATGTTCGGCAGGTGTTTGTAATGCTGCTGAATTCATATTTTTCATAAAATATAACGACAACTAAAGTTAACAAACCAGAATAGACGTAAACGCGTTGTTTATTTATCTTTGCTTACCCCGATGCCAATGAACTGTTTACCCTGGGATCTCTGGGACGCCATATTGAATTGAAACTAGCGCCATCTAACAGCAAACCACTACTACTTAAGAGCATTTGGGTATTTTTCTATTAAAAATAAAAAGGTAGGTAGGTATATGTTTGATAAAAAATAAGTGCAAAGTTCATGTTTTCAAATAAAATGGTACCAAAAAAAAGACCTACCTTACGATTTTCATGGCCCCAGCCAGCAAAGGATCGACCAGAAACCCATAATGTTTCTTATTGGCCAATGTCGAGTGTGCCAATCGAACGCGAAACACCCCGACGGACACTTTTAAACACTTTTCCGCATTAAAATCCTGAGAAAAATACAAAATTTTGCGAAAAAAACACGAGCGACCCGACTCTCGGACACGAAAAGAACTCTTGTTGACAAAATGGCCGCCAGTTCGGGTATTTACAAAGCCTACTTGAATTTCGGACATACGCAAATTAAATCAACAAGAAAAAAGCTAATAATAATATAATTTTTAATGTAAAATAAATATTAAAAATAAAATTAACTTTATTCCTGGCATTGTTTTAATTATTGACTTAGTTAAAAGAGAAATAAACTCCCCACAAAACTGGCGCTATCTAATCGTGAACTTGCAAACTACTACGTTGATTTAAAACTAAGGTATAAATCATGTATACAGAGTGACCCAAAAACAAATTATGACAGCAAACTTTATTTTTTCAAATGAAAACATTCATTTTTTATTTAATTTTCAAATTCTGAATCTATTTTATGTATCATGTCCAAAATTTAAAACTAGACAGAAAGACACCTTCGCCATCCAGTCAAGATTGCGTTTGCAATGTAATGGCTAAATTAGTTTAGGGTTTAATCGCTAGGTGGCGCAAAATTTTCTTTCCCAAAGTTATCGAAGCAAAACAAACACAAATGGGTAATTTAACATCAAAAAACAAATATAAGAAGTTTTTCCAGTTATTAATCCACTTAAGCTAATTCCAATTGCCAATCCGGATTATTATTTATTGATATTTTGGTTGCCATTTTTCCTAATCAAAACACACGCTGTGATTGGTCCGACAACTAGTCTCCTTGAAGGTTATTGGTCGTACGTCAGTGGTTTGACACATGTTCATGTGACCTTCCCCATCTTTCTAAGTTTCTTGGTTGCAAAGTGAGGTATTTTTCGTGGTTTTTATCGTTTTTTGGAAGCACTCGGCGCTCCAAATTGTTTTGAAAAGTGTCCAATAACGTTAATAAACAATAATCGTCCGTTGCCACGCACTGTCAGTGCTGCGAAAGCGGACAATTTGTGATTTGATTGTTGCAAACTCATTATGGTGTCCTAACCAACAAAAGTTGTATTTTTAAACCATCCACATTATTAAATCTCAAGCTCAAGGCTTTAAGTGAGTATTTGAACTATTTGAAGCTTCCCTATACTCGATTAAACATTATTGGTCGGGTCAATTTGCATATTTTTAGATGTTTGTTTGTGTATGTGAGTGTGACCATTTTCTTAGAATTTATTGATTTTCCAATGTTTGTAAACAGGAGTTGTTTTTGTGGGAAAGAAAAAATGGAAAGTGGGGACTTGGAGACACGTGTAGAGCTTGTTTACTTTTACTTACATTCCTGAATTTATTGCAAACAGTGGGGATTTACAAGGTTTGCACTATTTGCAAACACCTGATTGGTCAAATTATAAAGTTGTTTTTGTTGTTTCGCTGAATATTGAATGAATTACAAGCTGATTCATTTTTAATTTATTACTTTTAAAATTTAGGTATATATTGTAAACAATGATGCAATGATTAATTATGTTCCATGTTTAATGGAGATGTGTTTTATAAGGTCTGTTCTTACAGGAATCAGAAACCACTGAGAGTGAATTTGATTGGTTGGAAATAGGCAGAAAACTGGTTTGCACCAATCGAAAATGCTCTGACTGGTTTGTGATTTATGTGAGAACAGGCCTAAAGTCTTTGGTTTTATATAAACTGGTTGTAGGTATTTCATATAATGGAAAATGATGAATCAAGACTAGGTAGGAATAATGTTAATGATCATAATAAATTATGTTTATTGTTTTTATTTCCTATGTAACTATTATAACCATATAATACCTTGGTTACGATAATTATAAACAGGGTCTTAACTCCCAAGGGAGCTAAAAGATTTCATAACTCCCAAGGGAGTTAAGGATTTCTATAACTCCCGCTTTTACCTTGAATAGGTAAAATTTTGAGAAAAAATAGAAATTTTGGTGGTAGATAGATAATTTTATATCCTACTGAATTTACTGTATTCTGTCTATTTTTATAAAGGAATAAACCATAAACCAAAATTTCTATTTTTTCTCAAAGTTTTACCTATTCAAGGTAAAAGCGGGAGTTATGGAAATCCTTAACTCCCTTGGGAGTTATGATATCCTTAACTCCCGCACGGGAGTTATGAAATCCCTTACTCCCTGGGAGTTAAGACCCTGTTTATGACTATCATAACCAAGGTATTATATGGTTATAATAGTACAGTAGGATATAAAATTGGTAATTACCTTAACAATACAATCTTCCACCAATTACAGTCTCTTGATAAACTGGTTTAGATATTTAATGAAAAAACTCTACTTGATAAATCCTGTAAGTTGCAAGTTGCTGTGATGGCGCAAAATATTTTTCAGGAACCTTCAAAGGTAATTTCACAGGATTTTTTTATTTTTTCAGGTAAGTATTAATGAGTAAAAAATATGGTAATTTTAGTTGTGAGTTTCATATCAACTTCCAACTTATTTTATATCATGGAAAACGAGGGGTATTTCATTGGCCACAATATATGTACAAATTTCAGTATAGTGTTGCAGCAGTTATTTCTCAATAGCTCACAATGCTCTTGCAATTGTCTGCAATACTCTCACAATAGCCAGCAATACTCTCACAATAGTCTACAATATGCTCGCAATAGTTGACAATATCATTACAATAATTTAAAATACTATCGCAATAGCTTTGCAGTAGTTCTTCACTTCAATTTTTATACTCTTGTCGATGAAAATCTTTGAGATTATATCTAAGATTGTTGTGTTTTGGTCAGAGCTGTTGTAAGTACCAAGAAAAAGTACTTAAGTATTAAGTACAAGTTTCTTTTTTAATACGAATCAAGTACCAGTACAACTATAAATACAGAAGGAAATACTTAAAATATCAAGTAAATTGACTTGAATTGCCCAAATTCAAGTACAAGTACCAAATTCCATAAAAATCAGAGTCAAGTTTAAGTATTTACTTAAACTTGCGTACTTGAAATGACATTTAAGCAGAAATACTTCAAAAAATAATTTAAGTATTTTTTATTTCAAGTAATGTTCGAATTAAACTAACAAATTAAATTATTGCTATCGATAATCCTAATGGCAGACTACAGACACACTAATTTTTTACTTCAAGTAATTTTACTGGTACTGAAGTAATTTTTAAAACTTAAGTTCAAATTTTCAAAATATTTCAAGTGAAATATACTAAGCTGATATTTTAAGTATCAAGTAGGTACAAGTAAAATTTTGAAAACTTGAAATTGCAAGTACAAGTACCAATGTTTGGATTAGTACTTAAGTCAAATACTTAAGTATATTTTTGTACTTAAGTATTTACTTCAAGTATTTAAAATACTCAATACAACAGCTCTGGTTTTGTTGTATGGTTTTTTTATATTTTATAAATTATTTGGAATATTTTTGAAGTAGCATGCAGCATGCTATATATTTATTTTTTGCATTGGGACTACATCAGCGTCTATCACTCGTTGGGTATAAATTTGAATACGGATCTCAATTTTTGTTGCACTTTATCTCATCATAACTTTAACTCACGAGTGTAGGAAAATAGAACAACTGTAAAATATAAGGGCGGGATTCTCTTTTTCTCTCTTTCACTTCTTCCTACGCTACGGTTCATCTTTTTGGTCTCGTGTTTGAGTCGCTGTTCTTCAGATGTTAGGAATCAAGGGGAATCAAACCACCTTAGCATTATTTACCAAAAATGTGGGAAATTTGGATGAATTTATGAGGAATTTAAAAAAAATTGTAAGGTCATGACATCAGTGAGGTTCACATCCTTATTATAGAAAACACAAATAAATGGAAATTAAAAAAAAAAAAATCTAGTTTTGTCTTGGACGTTGGACATTAATTTTCATTAAAAAAATTCTCCCAAAATTTCACTTCATGATTTACAGGTCCAAATTTAAAAGAATAATGAGTACAGTTTTTGTAGGCTGATTTCCAAGATTTTTCATGTTGTTATTTTCCACTGGAAAAATTTGAAATTTTGGGAAAATGAGCTTCTCATCTTTCTCTTTACATGCTGAAACTTTCAAAATTTCCCTTCACTAGTTTTCCAGAAAAACTTTGAAATGTGTGAAACAGTATTTTCAATTAATTCAGATATTGAAGGTTGATTTCCAAGATTCTTCATGTTGTTATCTATTTTCCATTGGAAAAATTTGAAATTATGGGAAAATGAGTCTCTAACCTTCCTTTTCACATGCAAAAAGTTACAAATTTTTCCGTTCACTAGTTTTTCAGGAGAACTTTGAAATTTGTGAGACTATATTTCTAATTTATTCAGTTATTGGAGGTTGATTTCCAAGATTCTTCATGTTGTTATTTTTCATACTGGAAAAACTTGAAATTTGGAGAAAATGAGCCTTTAATCTTTCTCTTCACATGCAAAAAGTTTCAAATTTTTGCTTCTACTAGTTTTCCAGGAAAACTTTGAAATGTGCGAGAGTGTATTTTCCAAAGTATTTTCAATTAATTCAGTTATTGTAAATGAATTTCCAAGATTCTTTATGTTATTATTTTTCACTAGAAAAAATTGAAATTTTGAGAAAATGAATCGATAACCTTCCTCTTTACATGCAAAAAGTTTCAAATTTTTCCCTGGATTAGTTTTCCAGAAAAACTTTGAAATGTGCTGACTGTATTTTCCATTAGTTCAGTTTTTGTAAGTTGAATTCCATGATTTTTCATATTGTTATTTTCCACTGGAAAAATTTGAAATTTTAGGAAAATGAGCCTCTGACCTTCCTTTTTACATGTAAAAAGTTTCAAAATTTTCCCTTAATTAGTTTTCCAGGAAAACTTTGAATTGTGTGAGACTATTAACAATTATTTCAGCTTTTGGAAAATAATTTTCATAATTTTTCATGTTATTTTCCAATGGAAAAATTTGAAATTATGGGAAAATGAGACTCTAATCTTCCTCTTCACATGCAAAAAGTTTCAAATTTTTCCGTTCACTAGTTTTCTAGGAAAACTTTGAATTGTGTAAGACTGTATTAACAATTATGTCAGTTTTTGTAAGTTGATTTACTTAATTTTTCATGTTCGTATTTTCCACTGGAAAAATTTGAAATTTTAGGAAAATGAGCTTCTACTTTTTCCTTCTTCTTCACATGCAAAAAGTTTCAAATTTTTCCCTTTACTAGTTTTTTATAAAAATTGTGATATGACGTGTGAGACTGTGTTTTCAATTAATTCAGTTTTTGTAAGTTGGATTCCAAGATTTCTCATGTTGTAATTTTCCACTGAAAAAATTTGAAATTTTGGGAAAATGAGCTTCTAACCTTCCTCTTTCCATGCAAAAAGTTTCAATTTTTCCCTCAATTAGTTTTCCAGGAAAATTTTGAATTGTGTGCGACTGTATTTTCCAAGAGGCAAATCACCTAGGAAGTCTTTGCCAAAAATGTGGGGAATTTATAAGGAATTTGGAGAAATTTATGGAGAATTTGCAAGAATTTGCAGGAAATTTAGAAGAATTTATGGGGTACTTGGAGGAGTTTGTGATGGGGTATCTGGAGGAATTTCTGGAGAATTTGGAGGAATTTGCAGGTATTTTTAGGAATTTTGCGTAAAAAAATCCCTCGAAAATTCGCCTTTGAGGAATTGTTTGCCCAAATTCTGGAGGAGTGCTTTACCTCTTGTTAAGAACAGACAATATCCGAGAATATACAGTTAACTGTTTTGATGAACATACTATTCCATAAACAATAATTAACTCTGAACTTGACGCCAATTTCAATAAAGTTGAAGGTGAACCTCAATTCGACTGACTCATCTGAGGCTATTCAGGGGGAAACTGATAATGATGTTGTGATGGCAGACAAAGAACCAGAGGAGCTCAACTCTCTTAAAAATTATATGAAAAGGGTAGCCTTTAATATTAAAGATTAAGATTACTATGCTTAGGTAACAGACATCAACAATGGAAGGTTTTTAAAAATACATTTAAAAAAGAGAAAGTCAAATACAGTAAGAAAGTTAACATCGCAATAGTACTGCATACAGACAACAAGAAAAGCAAAGTGAAGTTTGTAAAATTAAATGTATGCCATTTTAGATGGTCTGAAAAAATAAAATTGATGATCTAATCCATTTGATTTAGATCATAAAGATTTAAATATGTAGTATGAAAGAAAAATATAAAAGTTTGAAGAAATAGGGAATACCCAAGGGGAATACCTATATACTGCAATAACTTGCAATAGTTCACATTAATTACAATGGTTTGCAATATCTAGAATCAATGGGCAATAGGTTGCAATAGTCCACAATACTCTGCAATACTTGAGTATTGCACAATATATGTACAAAAAAACTTCAGTGAAATACCCCTCGATGGAAAAACTCTAATTAATAAATCCTGAAAGTTTCAAGTTGCTGTGATGGGTCAAAGCTCAGAGGGTTCAAAATATTTTTTAGGGACCTTCAAAGGTGATTTTACAAGGATTTTCTTAGGTATCAATGAGTAAAAAAAATCTTAACTTTGGTTGTGAGTTTTATATCAACTTCCAACTTGTTTTGTATCATGAAAACACTTTAATCAATAAATCCTGAAAATTTCAAGTTGCTGTGATGGCTCAAAGTATTTTTCAGGATGATTATATAACAATTTTATGATTATTAATGAGTAAAAAAATGCGTAACTTTGGTTGTGACTTTCATATCAACTTCCACTTTGATTTGCACCATGAAAAAATTCTAATTAATAAATCCTGAAAGTCTCAAGTTGCTGACATTGCTCAAAGTATTTTTCAGGAATCTTCATATACCTACATACCTACACAATTTAAATTCTGTTGAATCATTGGCCCTTTAGATAGGTGGGTAAAACAAAATAATTGTTGGCTCTAATTTTTCAACAACAACAACAACATTATGTTGGTTGCCAATTTTCCAATTCTCCCAGACATTCATTGCCAAGTTCATTACTACAGGCAAAAATGTTTTTAACCTTTCAATGCTATAATCGACTTTTTGTAACACCTCTGGTCTGTAGTATGAGCCGAAGACCTTGAAACCAACCAGGTAAATTCTTGTGTTAATTAATTGCTCGATGGCCAATTATTCACTCAGATTTTTATATTATTCAACTACTCATTCAGATTTGATTTCACAACAAAATATCAGATAACTTTTTACAAGATAAGATTAATGTAGACAATACGCATTGTTTAGGAATAAAAAAATTTTTTTAGTAATAAACATATTTTCTACTAGTCAACACACGTGGAAGTAATTTCGAATTGAAACTGTAAACAACTTGATAGTAGTTTGCAACCTTACGAGCAACATTAAACAAGTGAATTTTTTCTATTAATAAAAAGTAAAAGTTTTAAATTTTTTTTGCCATTATGATGCAAACTAATACTTTTGTACATGATTATTTGAATGCAATGTAAGTGCAGTTGTAATTTTTTTTCTAGAATTAAAATTCTATTTTATTTTACTAGAATTATGGGTGATTATCACAACTACAACCACAACAGCGAAATCAGCATAAAACAAGAACCTGAATCGAATAACATAATGATTACATCAGCCTCTGTCCCAATTCCTGTAAGGAGAGATCCTCCAGAATACCGTGACTACATTTTTGAATTAGACAACTCCCAAAGCCCTTTATATGGTACAATAGGTAAAAAGTTATTTATAGTGAAAGTAAAACATTTCTTATACATTATACACTCGTAAGGTTTAACATCAGATCAAGCCTTATCACCCACCAACCCATACGGTACCTATTGGGACAATCACATTTTGGGTGAAAATGAGCTTATGAAATCTGAAGCCTTAATCCACATGGACGAAGATGACATTTTTCAAGTGGACGAAGCTGATCTCATACAAGGTCCCACTTTGGCTGAGCTCAATGCCAATGACGAAAATCTTTTGGGCGATTTAAATTTCGACGATTTGCTTTTACCCAGTGATACTAGCTATACTATTTTGGAGAGTACTCAGGGTGGATATCCTCATGCCACTAATAATAATCAGATGATAAGTGCTTCAGCGTCTTGTCCGCAAGGTGACAATTTCCATTTTATTTGAATTTTGTATAATAAGTAGCTTTTTTTAGGTTTGATGTTTTATAAAGAATTGGAACTTCCATCAAATTTGACTGCTGCAAACTATGATGTTAACTCTAGAACTCCGGTTTCTGCACTTTCTCCAAGCAGTCCGGCTAGTTCTAATTCGTCTATAGTCAACTCTCCGATGCACGTGCATAATTTACAACCCAAACAGAGTACTCTACATGATTTGCTGATGAGAAAAGATAAATTCGAATCTTCACCAGACAGATCATTATTAGGTGAGTTTATTTCATTGAATAAAAACTATTATAGTAAATATTGTATAATGCAGGCACCAGTTTATCACTATTGACCTCGCTTCTTTGACATCCATAATGTACACATGCACTAATGCATAGATTAATTCAAATTTATGGATTTGTGTGTGCTAAATAAATTTCATGCCTTTTGGACTTTGTTTCTCAATAGACACATTTTTTTATTTGTAGGTCACTCTGTTCCAAATCGTAACACGCCCCTCCACTGTCAAAATGTGAAAATGTATCGAAATCAAGCCTCTAGATTGTCCTCTTCTGCTCCCACTCACCTAAATTTGGATCAGATATGGCAAAGGAGGGAGCCCAGAAAACATTTATTGTCGACCAGGTATTTTTATTTTATAATATTTCGTCATCGAGTTTTATCATCCAATGCATGTGTAGATTTTATGGGAGATGGCCTTGATGCATAATAATAAATTATATAATAGTTTATTTTAGTTTTGAAAAATAATATAATTGAAATAATAGATAATGTTATCTGAAACACTGACATTTTTTTTAAAAATGAGTTTGAATTTTTTAAATTTTTTTCTAATTTTCTATCTTCAATAAGTAATCAAAAGCTGATTGGAAACTAAGTGAAAATACTTGAACTTGATTAGTTAATTAAGTTCAAAAGCAACTCACAACTGATTTCAAATGCTCGGAATTGGACAAAAATGACAATGTGGTTTCATTTCAAATTGGGATTAAGTAATCACTTTTGAAGGGCCTGCTAGATCCAAACCTCTGGCCTGTAGGCATTACTGTCATGGAGTTTCATCCTCATCGTATGGGGGCAAAACCCTCCACAGCAAATTTTTAGAAGTCGCAATAGATTGTGCTACCTTTCTGTACTAAAATGTAAGAGGCCTAAGCATCAGTGGAGGAAACATGGGTGTCAATGACGCCGGGTGACTTGGTCTTATGTATTGCCACTGCAAATCACTTGTGAGTGCCTGTGGAATTTTTAATAATGTGCTTGTTCTTGGAGATTATAATCTTTCTCAAATAAAGTGGTCCACTATTGAGGATCTCGCTGGTTTATCATCTGGAAATGTAAGGTCAACTAAGGAAATATTGTTATGTGATGTTATTAATCTGTCTCAATACAATGGGGTGAATAACGATCATGGTTCAATCCTGGATTTATGCTTTGCCAACTTTGAATTTGTTTCAATTGTGATACCTGATGGTCTGTGACTGTATCATCTAATGTCCGCCCAGCGACTCTGTGTCTACGGGGCAACGGTGAGGGGAATACAATTGCAAAAAAAAGGCTGATTTCATTCATAAAATACCCAGCTGCGTGCGGAACTTTTCAGAAATGTTATCATATTGCAACATGAAAATCGACAATGACCAAACCCCCGCCACTGGATATTTCAATATAAATCGATATACCAAAATGGGAGGAAAAAATAACAGAAGCCCTGGCCAATAGCGAGACGTAAGGTGACGTTAACCTATTGACAACCGCAGGGTTCCCCGTGGCAACGGCCATCCTGACAAAAACTCCACCAATCAGGTTCATCCAGGCCGGATCCTTGCCAAATTATCAAAAGCTGATGGTATCTTTAGAAAATGTTTATTTTTTACGATAGACAAAATTAAAGAAATCAGTTATTAAAATAAGCATAGATCTAACAACCACGTTGAAATATTAAGCGTTTTATTGTTATCTATATTTTATAATTAAAAAATGGATTTTCAAATGAACTATTCGCGTGTGGCTAAATTCAACTGGTGTAGGCACCGTGGTGGAATGGTAGAAAGGGCAGTGTTGTTAAATTAAACAGGATTTGACAAGTTGTGGTTTGGCATTGGCATTGGTGAATCGCAATCACCGCATCCGTGGCGGTGCAACATTTTGGTGAATTTAGCAACACGCGGTATACTTCATGCCTAGTATTTTCGCTTTTTTATAATTAAACGTGACAACATCGCAAATTTACGTCCAAATTCCTTCCGTAGACTCAGAACGGCTGGGCAAACAATAGTAATAGCTTTGGAGTTTTCTATACCTGTTGATGAAGCTAAATTTCTGAGTCCTCTTTATTATTTTTCCTATGACTTGTGTAGCACTCACCAAGGAGTACTACAAATTATACATTTGGGGTATACAAGGCTCTCTCACTTGGGTCACCTTATTTATCAATGATATAGGATCGTTGCTGTCCTCAAATTTTTTACTCTTCAGTTGACGTCAACTCAAGACATACTAATTCTGCAAAACAATCTTAACATTGTTTATGATTGGTCTTAGCTTAAGGACATGTTCCTCAACATTGATAAGTGTTGTTGTATAAGATTCAGTAGACTCACCTGTAAGGTTCCTTTTCAGTATTGCTTAGGTGATGTTCGCTTGTCTGAAGTTTCTGTCATTAAAGATCTTGGTGTCTATCCTAGATACTAGATTAATGTCCATCAAGCATTTTGAAGTGGTAATTGGCAGAGCTAATAGAATGTTGGGTTGAGAGCTACTAGGGATTTTACAAGTATACCCCCCATCAAAATTTTTTACACGTTATTAGTCAGATCTGTTCTTGAGTTTTCTTGCATAGTTTGGTCACCTCACCTTACTATTAATAGGCTTAAGAGTGTTCAACACAAATTTAGCAAGTTTGCTAAGTAAAAACTGTCTCTGAGACGTGTGATTCTCAGTGTTTACCAGACTATGACTTACTTAGACTTAACTAAGCTGGTAACTTTGATGTCTGTTTTGTTTTTAATATCATTAACTACTACATAAAAAGCCACAAATGTCTTGAATGTTTTTATCTACACACTCTAAGTTATTGGAGTAAATCTTTACTGCACATTCTTTACTGTCATACTTGGTACTTTCTAAAACTCTGTACTACTTCAAATGTATATATTTTTTTTATACATTTTATACATATACAATTCTTTTACAGTTCATTGGCCGAATGCGGTTCAACTTCCTCCTTATCAACCGGAGGAATTTTGAGCCCTGAACTTCCAGACTACTCTCACGACGAATATGAAACCGATGAAGACAGTGACGCCCACTATGAAGATTATTCATCTGACATCAGTAAGTTTTCCAGTAATAAAACCAATAATCGTAACACATTTGCTAATAGATTCTGATGATGATGACGATACACCTAGAGCCTCCTCGTCAAAAAAAGAAAAATTCTTTTGGCAATACAACATTCAATCCAAAGGGCCCAAAGGGCAACGATTGGTGATGAAATCGAAAATGGAAGATCCGCACGTGTTAAATGAAGTCACTGACCCTGTGTTTAGTACCGATTGTTCTGTGAGGGGCATTAAACATAGTGGTAAGTTGACCATTATCAGACACAGTGGTAAGAATAATTAACACAACAAACCTTTTAATTTTATATTACAATAAAATCTATTTCAGGTAAAGCGCGCAAAGGAGATGGTAATGATTTAACTCCTAACCCGCGTAAACTTTACACTATTGGCAAGGAACTTGACAAACTTGGCAGAACTATTAACGATATGACACCAGTAAGCGAATTACCATTTAATGTAAGACCAGATTCAAGAAAAGAGAAAAACAAATTGGCTTCAAGAGCCTGCAGACTGAAAAAGAAGGCCCAACATGAAGCCAACAAAATCAAATTAAGTGGACTGGAACAAGAACACAGTAAGTAATGATTGGACAACTTTTGAGCCAATAATTACTTTTGCATTTTAGGACGGTACATAAACACTATACAACAAATCAAGCATCTAATTGCAATGAAACTAAACAAACAGGACAGTCAAGAAGATGTATCTCAAACCATTGACAAAATCTCTAAATCTTGTATAAGTAAGTCAACAATTATTAAAAATAATCAATCTATTTTGCTTTTTTTAGAAGGTAAAGTTGCAGGCCATACCACAGAATACGTCAACAAAGTTTTAGATAAGCTAAAAGCTGGCATCAGTGCTAACACGGCTTTGTCCTCTAGCTTTATTGATGACCTATAGACTGAGGATTGGAGAAAAATTGATTGAATCTCTCTTAGGAAGCGTGTGTCTACAACTAGTCATGTGTAGTGAAACAGGGAAAAAAAAATTCTGCTGGGTTTTGTTATTTACCTCCGTTTATTACTGTTAAGTTCCTACAAGAAAAAATTGAAATGTTGCCTTGTTTGAGCCATATTAATAATAGTAATATCCATATTTTTGTACGCTCCTTGTAAGTAAGTTTTAGTGAGTTGAGTATTAAGTTTATAGAATATGAAAGTAGGGGAAAGGAGGAGGTGTATTCTGTAAACTTTGGTTATGTGTGATAGTACAACAAAAATCTTTCTACAAGTTACATATAAATTATATTGCTTTTTTTGTCCAACTCTGTAATTGTTACAGCAAATGTAATTCTTGTATTTAGAGTAACAATTTCTTTTGGAATTTGCATTTGCTGTTATTTTTTTCATGCATATATTATAATATAAAGTAGAAAGTATTTTACTTGGCTCTTGTATTACTGGCTAATTATTTATTCTTGCCTTTTAAATGTTTAAATATTTGAAAGGCAGTTTTATATTTGTACAAATAACACTTGAAAACAGGTAAAAAAAAAAAAACTTCCTTCCATTTATTTCATTAGAATCCCATATACTAGTCTAGCATATAAATTATTTGTACATAATCCAATATTTATGGTTTTCATTTATCATTACTTTCCCAATCTGAAAAAAAAAAAAACAATAAGAAGGGTTACAAAAATATTGTGTTCATATTGTGATAAAAATCGTAACTAATAGGTGATGAACGGAGCTGGCCTCTTGCAGTTAAAAATATAATTTTTATTTTACGTTTATTTGAAAGTAAGTGCGGTCGTACACCAATGAAATATCAATCATGCAGTACTTACACGCTGCATTTTACGTTTTTATGCAGCAGAAGTTTATCTGCGGTATTTACTTCATGTCGCATGTTTGATGTTTCATTGGTGTAGGACCGCACTAAGTACGATATTAAAATCAAAACTGTTTTTTTTTTACGCTCTCTCTATATTGGGCGGATAAATTCATCTTTTTAATGAATTCATAGGACGACGAACCGTTAATCAAAAAATAGTTTTGGTGAAAAACTGGCTGTGCGAACGATAGTGATAAGCTTTATTTTTTTTTAGATGTAAGGTTTGGTTATGCCAAGTAAAATACATTATTGAGATTAATTATTATGTAATTACTCTGTAGAATAGCTAGTTTATATTAACTATAATTGTATGTATTTAAATTGCCTTAAACTCATAAATATCTAGCTATTTTTTCAGGATACCTGGGAAAAACACTTTCCATGTAAGTTGGGGATTTTTTTTTTTCACGAGCGTAAGGAAAACAAAACGAAAATAGAATTTATTAAATAGATTACAACTATTCAGAAATAACAAGTTATTTGGTATTTATATACATCTTTCTATGTAAATAAGTGTGCTCAAAAGTGCCATTTTCTGCACGCTAGTAGAAAAATTATATTTCTGGCACATTGTGTTTAAATTTGAAAAAAAAAAAAATGATTTGTTTTTATTTAGATATTAGGAGTTAAGTAATTATATATGTATTGCAATAGTTTTATATAGCATATCTAAAAGAATTGATTTTGGATACACGAAGCTTTAGTTTATTGTTACATTTGTAGGTATATATATTTTGGTGTTTTATAAATATATTTTTTTAAGTTTTCTTCTTCATGAATATTCTATAGTTTAATTTTGGTGTAAATTCAAATTAGACAATGTTTTTTTAAAAAAAATCAAATTTTATTTGGTTCTCTTTTAACAAATTATGTACAAAACGCGAGAATAAAAAAAATGTAATAAAAATCCTTTTTTATTCGTAATAATTCAGGAACAGTCTTTATGTAATAACAATGTGACAGGTCCGAGTTGATGTCTGTCCGGCCTTGACCCACAATAACCAATAATTATTCAGACAGTGTTGAAATTCTATAATTAAATTTATTCTTGGAAAGCTATTCTATAGACTTCCTCCACGTGACTGACAAAATGCACTTCGAGCCCTTCCGTTATAAATGTGGGCAGATCATTGAAATCCTTTTTATTCTCTTCAGGTAGTATTATGCATTTTACACCTGATCTTTTAGCCTGAAAATAATTTACGAAATCAAACAATATTAATAAAAATGTAAACATCCACTAACCGCTATCGTTTTTTCTTTAATCCCTCCCACAGGTAAAACTTTTCCCATCAAAGAAATTTCTCCTGTCATGGCCAAATCTTGTCTGGTTGGTTTGTTTTTGGCCAATGACAAAAGGGCAGTTACTATTGTACAACCTGCACTAGGACCGTCTTTGGGTGTTGCTCCTTCAGGAACGTGCAGATGGAGATGACTGAAAAGTATAATTAAGAAAATGTCTATGAGCTAAAAAAAAATTGGTTACCTATTCAGCAGAAATTTATTATTTGGATCATTTAATGACAAAAAATTTCTAGCCACTGTCAAGGCAATTTTTGCAGACTCCTTCATTACATCCCCCAAATGCCCAGTCAACTCCATACTACCTTCAGAATCTTTTTCAGTTGAAGGTAGCCTTCTTGTTGTTGTTTCTATGTATAATGTAGAGCCACCTTCAAAAAAAATTAATCAATAATTACCAATATTGATTTAAAAAAGAATAAAATATTTTACCCATAGCAGTCCATGCTAAACCCATAACAACCCCTGGAGGAGTAGTTGGATACATCCTATCATGAGTAAATACAGGTTTACCAACAAACTCTTGTAAATTATTAGAACCCACATCAATAAATTGAGTTTCATCTTTTACTACTTTATACGCCACTTTTCTCACTACTTTCTCTATATGTTTCTGCAAATTCCTAACTCCACTCTCCCTACAATAGCTCCTAATAAGAATCTTTAAAGCCTCATCTTCCACTTTGATGTGGTCATCTTTTAAACCACTATCTCTCATAGCTTGCGGCAATAAATATTGCTTGGCAATGGCCAATTTTTCTTCTGCCACATAGCCAGACATGTCAATCATTTCCATACGATCCCTTAAAGGTTCTGGAATAGTGTCAACTACATTGGCAGTGCAAATAAATAAGACTTTTGACAAATCCACTGGCACATCCAAGTAATGGTCTAAAAAGTTGGCATTTTGTTCTGGATCTAATAGTTCCAAAAGAGCTGAACTAGGATCTCCTGAATAACCCCTAAAAATTATAAATAACAATTTGTATTAGAAAAAAAAAAAACATCTACTTGCTTTCCAATTTTATCCACTTCATCAATCAAAACCAAAGGATTTTCAGTTCTAGTTTTCTTAAAACATTGAATTACTTTGCCAGGCATCGCACCCACATAAGTACGTCGGTGGCCTTTGATTTCAGCAACATCTGTCATGCCTCCCACTGAAAATCTAAAATACTCCCTGTTCAGGGCTCTGGCAATTGACCTAGCTGAAAACAAGTCTCGGTTATTTTATGTATTGCAATTTGGCCCAATAAAACATACCTATACTTGTTTTTCCCACCCCAGGTGGTCCGTGGAAGCACAAAATTTTCCCCTGGGTGCTACCTTTGAGCTGGCTAACAGCTATGAATTCTAAAATTCTTCTTTTTATATCTTCCATACCGTAATGGTCTTGATCTAGAATTTCTGAGGCTCTTTGCAAGTTTAAGTTTTCTTCGCTTTGGACTCCCCAAGGAAGTGATGTTAGCCAATCTAAATAGTTTCTGGTAACGTTAAATTCTGAACTATGGCTTTCCAGGAAACCTAATTTGTTTAGTTCTTCATCTATGACTGCACTGACTGCTTGAGGTAGTATTTTATCTTTTATTCTTTCTTTGAATTTGTCGCCTATAGCGTCTTTATCGTCTTTTTCTAGGCCTAATTCTTTTTTAATCACTTTAAGCTGCTCTTGTAAAATGTATTTTCTGTGATGTTGCTTTACTTTTTCTTCTACTTCTCTGCCGATTTTTTGTTGCAGTTTCGAAAGTTCATATTCTTTTTTTAGGAGAGAAAGAGACAACATTAGTCTTTTTGGAATCTGAAATAAAAATATTCAATATACAATGATTGTTTTTGTAAGGAAATTCATACATCCATTTCTTCTAGGACTTCTTGCAACTCTTTGCTTTCAGCAGCAGTTAATGCAGCTCCTAAATCTGAGAGATAAACAGGGTTGTCAACAACTCTTTGTCCTTGATGCATCATTTGTTGTAGACTATCTCTATTGGTTGGTAATAAATATTAATTATTATAGTTTGTGTTTAGGTATAGAGGAAAATGAGTTACCTATACAAGGGGTTTAAACTGATGATATCTCTTATAGTTTTTATAACTTCTTGAGTCAATGCTTTTACTTCTTCTGTTTGTCTAAATTTATTATGTACAACATTTTCTACTTCAGCCATGAGCAAAGGTTCAGCTCCTGGTGGTGGTGGTGCAGTTGCAGTTGTAGCTCCTTCTTTAGGCAACTCTCCAGTTTCCTGAGTAATTTTTTGTGTTTGTGTTTTTTCTTCGACATTTCTAATTTCTGGGTGTATTTTCTTGATCCTACTGGCTCGGCTTTTTCTACGACCCCTGGTGTCTTCTTCTGAAATTTTTTGGGGTACTTTAATGGTTGTGTTGAAAGCAGGAAAGTGAAGCTTCAAGGGTTTTGCTTTTGCTACTTCTAGAAGAAATGAGAAGACTCAGGGTTGGCTAAAATCCTGCTTATTGTATTATAGTGCATAGAGAATTGGATTTTTAATGTATTATTTATTTGCATGTATTAAACCTAGGAATTCTTTGCCAAAAATGTGGGGAATTTAGAGGAATTTGTGGGGAATTTGTAGGAACTTATCCGAATTTATGAGAATTTGGGGAATTTATAGGGAATTTGGAGGAATTTATGAGGAAATTGTTAAATTTAAAAAATTCAAAAGAATAATGAATGCAGTTTTTGTAGGTTGATTTCCAAAATCTTTCATGTTACTGTTTTTCACTGGAAAAATTTGAAATTTCGAAAAAATGATCTTCTCACCTTCCTCTTTACATGCAAAAAGTTTCAAAATTTTCCCTTCACTAGTTTTCCAAGAAAACTCTGAAATATGTGAGACTGTATTTTCAATTAATTCAGTTATTGTAGGTTGATTTCCAATATTCCTCATGTTGTTATTTTCCAAGACAACTTTGAAATGTGGGAGACTGTATTTTCAACTAATTCAGTTTGTGTAGGGTAGGTTGATTTCCAGGATTTTTCATGTTGCTGTTTTCAACTGGAAAATTTTGGGAAAATGAGCATCTCAGCTTCCTCTTTACATGCAAAAAGTTTTAAAATTTCCTTTCTCTAGTTTTCCAGGTAAACTTTGAAATGTGTGAGACCGAGTGTGAGACTGTATTTTCGGGCGAGTTTTCGGGTGTATTTTCAACTAATTCAGTTTTTGTAGGTTGATTTCAAAGATTTTTCATATTGCCGTTTTCTACTGGAAAAATTTGAAATGTTGAGAAAATCAGCTTCTCAGCTTCCTCTTTACATGCAAAAAGTTTTAAAATTTCCTTTCTCTAGTTTTCCAAGAAAACTTTAAAATATGTGAGACTGTATTTTCAACTAATTCAATTTTGTAAGTTGACTTCCAAGATTTTTAATGTTGCTGTTTTCTACTGGGAAAATTTGGAATTTTGGGAAAATGAGCGTCTCACCTTCCTCTTTACATGCAAAAAGTTTTAAAATTTTCCCTTCACTAGTTTTCCAGGAAAACTCTGAAATATATGAGACTGTATTTTCAATTAATTCACTTATTGTAGGTTGATTTCCAATATTCCTCATGTTGGTATTTTCCACTGGAAAAATTTGAAATTTTGGGAAAATGAGCTTTCAACCTTTCTATTCTTCACATGCAAAAAATTTAAAATTTTTGCCTTCACTAGTTTTCCAGGAAAACTTTAAAATATGTGAGATTGTATTTTCAACTAATTCAGTTTATGTAGGTTGATTTCCAAGATTCTCCATGTTGTAATTTTCTACTGGAAAAAATTTAAATTTTGGAAAAATGTGCTTCTCTCCTTCCTCTTTACATGCAAAATGTTTCAAAATTTTCCCTTCTCTAGTTTTCTGTAAAATATGTGAGACTGTATTTTCAACTAATTCAGTTTCTACGACTTCCAAGATTTTTCATGTTGCTGTTTTCTACTGGAAAAATTTGAAATTTTGGGAAAATAAGCGTCTTATCCGAGGTCTCACCTTCCTCTCTACATGCAAAAAGTTTCAAAATTTTCCCTTCACTAGTTTTCCAGGAAAATTCTGAAATATAAGAGACTGTATTTTCAATTAATTCAGTTTTTGTAGGTTGATTTCCAAGATTTATCATGTTGCTCTTTTCCACTGGAAAATTTTGAAATTTTGGGAAAATGAGCCTCTCACCTTCCTCTTTACATGCAAAAAGTTTCAAAATGTTCTCTTCACTAGTTTTCCAGGAAAACTTTGAAATGTGGGAGACTATTTTCAATTAATTCAGTTTTTGTGGGTTGATTTCCAAGATTTATCATGTTGCTGTTTTTCACTGGAAAACTTTTAAATTTTGGAAAAATGATCTTGTCATCTTCCTGTTTAAATGCAGAAAGTTTCAAAATTTTTTTTAGAGGAATCTGTGGGGTATTTGGAGAAGTTCGTGGTGGGGTATTTGGAGGAATTTGTGGTGAGGTATGTGGAGGAATTTGTAGGAATTTTGAAGAATTATGTGAAAAAATTTCCCTTTGAGGAATTGTTTGCACCAATTCAGGGATGGTGGTTTACCCCTTGACTTAAATTTTAAAGAACATTCAGGAAAGCTTGAGATACTTTAAAGTACAGGTTTAGATCCAAGTTAAAATCCCCAAGAGTATTTCGGAACGCCCTAGAACACTATACAAATCATATGGAAACAGCCTAAATAGAACTGGAAACCTTCAGAATGTCTTGAAAATTGTTACACGACATTTTAAAACTAACTTAAAACTTTCATGAACATATTAGATCACTCCAAAACATGTTCAGAAATTAGAATTTCAATAGATTAGTAGTATCAAAAAGCGCTTGGGATTGGGACAATTCTGATAGCTTCTAGAACATTCCAGTGCATCAAGAGCATTAGTTATATGTTACAGGTTATAGGCTCAGAGTTATAGGTAAAAGGAGTACGTGTGAAAAACGGTTTCATATATGTCTTTTATCGAGGGGTCAACCACTCTGTAAAAATGTGTACACGTATTGCGAAAATGTCGGTATTTCGTAAGTATTTCGCGAAATTCAAAGTATTTCGGTGGTGGTAATTCGAACCTAGTTTTTTGTGGTATTGCCGTACTTCGAAGTATTCGGAGGTAATTCGAAGTATTTCGAGGTAATTTGAAGTATTTCGAGGTAATTCGAAGTATTTCGAGGGAATTCGAAGTATTTCGCGGTATTTCAAGCTATTTAAAGTAGTTTTTATTTATTTACTGAGAACAATTAATTCCTTATCACCTGAAATTGGAATATCACGGAATAAAAACCATAGTCTATCTTCGAACAAGCTAAATATGTTGACATAATTAAGAGATACTGCAGATTAATAGAAACAAATGGAAAGATATACTACCTGATATGTATAAGTGATCAACTAACCAATGTCAGTTGGTTAATAGTACAGGGACATTCAACGAGGACTGAACAGGGAATTATTTTTGACTTTCCCTGTATTTTTGAGAAAATTTAAAATAGCCATTTGGAACATTTTTTTTCTGGAGAACTCAAAAATGGTACCAAAAAATCATTTGAACCAAAAACCAAAGAATTACGCCCATGGATGAGTTGTTTTTTAAATGGAACACCCTGTTTTTTGTATGATTTTTGGAGAAGTCTCATTTTTTTTATATCTATCTATTAAAAATATTTGATGTTCCAATAGCTATTTTTATTTTATTTTAATGTTTTATTCTTATTAATTTTGCCTTTACCTGTTTAATACCTGGCAACAAAATTCAAAGATTTCATCATGTATGAACCAATTAAATCCAACAGGTATAGCTAAAATTATTAGGCATAAAACATTAAAATAAAATAGAAACAGCTATTGGAACTTTATTGGAATATCAAATATTATGTTCCACAGAATAGACGTAAAAAATTAGACTTTTCCTAAAACCATACCAAAAACACGGTGTTCTATTTAAAAAACGGTTCAACCATGGCATAATTCTTTGGTTTTTGGTTCAACCGATTTTTTGGTACCATTTTTGAATTCTCCAGAGAAAAATATTTCAATTGGCTATTTTGGATTTTCTCAAAAATACAGGAAAAGTCGAAAATTGCCCCTGTCCAGTCCTTGTTGGATGACTCTGTACCTAACAGCATTGTAGAAGTAACAGTCACCTGCATCACTAACTATTGATTCAATTGTCTATCCTGTGTGTCCGAATAAAGTCCATCATATCAAAAGACACAAAAACCCAAGCAAAAATTCTTCACTGCGATCCACAAGAATACTTAATAGTTATCAACGAGAATTTTTTAGAAGTATTGCGGGACTTCGCGCCGTAGTTCGAGGGTATTTCGCGTACTTCGATGGTAATTCCATGGTATTTCACGTACTTCGACGGGAATACCTGGTATTTCGAGGTACTTCATGGTATTTCTAGGTACTTCGAAGTATTTCGGAGGTAATTCGGGCCAAATGTACACGTATTTCAGGAAGTGGTTGACCCCTCGTCTTTTATTAAATATTTGTTGGGAACTTCTAAGATTTTGTATGTGTCAATAAAAAAATGTTTGTTTGCTTTTCCTCTTGTACAAGTTATCAAGTAACTTTTTTACACAAAAGTTACAGGGGGTGGTACTTTATATCTTGACATCTGGTGGGATTTTACTGTGTGTTAATTTACATGAAAATATCTATCCAAAAAGTAAAGAAAATTGTTTGCCAACCCTGTGAGAAGTCCAAAAACCTTAACCCTCGGGCAGGCGCGCTATTGGTCTTTTATACCGCCTTTTTACTAATTCAAGGATTTCGCAATTATTTTGGATTTTATCATATTGTCCGTCTAGAGATGCTCAAATGACTATATTAGCAAACCTACTACGCATAATTTACGACCTTAGCGCGCTTGTTCAGACGTCAGTGAGTTCTTGAACTTGCAGTTGTTGAGTTTTCGGCATTCCGTGCCGCCAGCGCGCCTGGTCATGTAAGTAAAATTAAAAGCGAATAATACAAATATTATGAATATTATTTTTGTGTTTTTGCGAAATTAGTATTAAGGATTTCATTTAGTTGCCTAGAATTACAATTTATCCAATTTTTTTTACTGTATTTAAAGATAAATTTTGATATTTTGAATTATTTCGTACATTTTCCTACTGGCGGCAGGCAGTTCCGCAGCGCGCCTGCTAATGTGATTTTCAAATGCGCGCCCGCCCGAGGGGTTAAACAACTACTTTTTTACCTTTGGGTTCTTCAGTGGCAGTATCAAAAATTTGACCGGTAATTTTAATCCTCCTATGTGCCATTACGACTAATCTTAATCTATCTCCCAAATCTTGCAGTTCGTGAATTTGAGCAAACACTCCAACTTTGTAGACATCTTCAAGATTATTGACCAACTACAAATAGCAATTATGTATTATACCACTGCAAACAATAATCAATTAGATTATTATTACATACTTCTGATTCATTTTCTTCATTTTTCTTTAAAAATATACCACAGTAAGGCTGATTTAACTTGACTTTTCTTCTAATTAACTCAATTAATTGGGGATTGGCGATTTCTATAAGTTTGATGAATCTTGGAAAAACTATGTTTTTACTTATGGCAATGACTGGAACGTGGGGCCAAACCTTGAAATAATTGATAATTATAGCTACGAGTAAATTGTATATATTAAAACTTACCTCTGGAACAGCTACTGTGGCAGGCAATTGAGGATTGTACGGTTCTTCTTCTGGAGGTACATCATCAGTTCCATCCGGGGTTTTTGAAGTAAAATACCTTGCAGAAACTAACGAGACACTTTTATCATAAAAACTATTGTTTGGACGTCTTAATAAAGAACTTTTCACTCGATTCAATCCTAAAGTATCCAAATTCCTGCATTGTGTGAATTCTCTGGAATAACGCAGCAATGTTCTAGCAGAATTAGTCAAGCGTGGGTTTCTAGCAAGCTTTAGAAAACTCATTATAATAATTTGTAAGTTAAAAGAGCATTATTGTATAATTATCAAAATTAGGAAATTTCAAAGTCAAAATTCGAACTAGTTCTGGAAATTCTGGAAAATATTTCACATAACCTCAAACTTTTGTTGGCGACGACTACAGAGCCATCTATGGACCAACTTATAAAGCTCAACCAATCAGAGAAAAATTAGAATTTTTCTTGAATGCTCATTGAAAATATCATTTCACTGTTGCCAAATTTCTTTTTATTTCAGAAATACAAAGGCCCATTTATGAGAATTATCAGAAACTGCTTAAAAATCGAAGAAAAATGCTCCCTTGCCCTTGTTGTTGCCAAATTTAGCTAAAATATTCTCTGAACTGGCAACACTGGTCAAATACATAATGACAAATGTCACTCAATAATCAATCATTTTTTGAAATTTCAAAAATGTCAGTCAGGGTTGATTCAATAACGGACAACAGTAAACACATCATTTTCCAATTAAATTTCCAATTTACATTGAAAAACTTGTGTTGTAATTAACGAAAACAATGTGCCCAATGACTAGAAGCTCACAAAAAATGGAAATCAGATAATAAATCCCTATTTCCTAACCTCAAAAATCAAAATGTTAACCGACGAAGATACAGAGGATGGAAATTTCATTGAACTTTTCAAAAAGGAACACAACGAGCAATTTTACGTTCTTGTTAAAATGCACTTGTCGTTTCTTTTACATATGACTACCGAAGAGTAAGTACTCGTGCATTTTTTACACACAAATCATTTAAAACATGATAATTTTTTAGAAGCGAATGCTTCTACGAAAAAGTCAAATTAAGAAAATGGAACATAGTGCCTTTCGGCAAGAAATCTAAACACAAACAATCGCTGGACGCAGCTCTAAATCAAAACATATTAAAACAAGTTCATCAGTTGATTAATTTTCTTAAATTGGATTCCAGTATGTACCCACCTTTATAAGTACAAAAAAAAAAATCAGTACTAATACTTTTATTGTAGATTTAAATTCTGAAGGCATATTTAGGAGAACAGGCTCACTTGAAAGACAAAACGAACTCAAAAACCTTCTCCTGCAAGGTTGCACCATAAATTTTTCAAATAATCATTTCACTGTTCATGATTGTGCTTCAGTTTTAAAATGGTTTTTAGCTGATTTACCTGAACCCATTACAACCGACATACAATTTCCTATTTATTGTCAAATAGCAGAATCCTTTAAGACAACTGAGGCTGCACACGAAATCAAAATCCTACAAAGTGTACAATTATTGTTCCTGCTACTACCAAAAGAAAACAAAAATTTACTTCAAGACATTTTTGAGCTTTTACATTTGGTGATGCTCAAAGAAGACACTAATAGAATGTCTTCTGAAAATTTAGCTAAACTCTTTACACCTCATTTATTATGCCCCAGGAAACTTGCCCCTGAAGTTTTACTTAAAGACTCCCAAATCCTGTTCAGTGTTGTAGCATTTATGATCAAAAAATACCCAAAACTATTCAAAATCCCAGCCCAATTGATGCTGGACTTTAGGACGCATCACGAACAAGGCACTGTATTAAATGACTCTATCAAAGGAGCAGCCCATACAGTATTTAGTTTTGTTGACAATAACAAAACCGCCAAAGAAAACCAGGAAAATGTAACTGATGCGGCTTTAGCAGAATTGTATGCTCACATACAAAGTTTGCCTGAAACTTCAAAAAAAAGAAAACTGGTCAAGCAGTTTAATAAGCAAAACGGACAAGGAACTCCGTTGCAAGTTATCAGAAGCTCTGCGCCAAAGAATAGGAGTTTTGGGGATTCAATTAAGAAGCATATGTTTCACAAGAAGTTGTTGAAGAATGTTAAAAAGTCTGGTTTAACTCAGATGAAAAGTTCTAGCAGTGAAGAAGTGTTGAATGTGAGTATTTTTGGGTTTTTAACTAACAAGCAAAGCTGTTGTATTGAGTATTTCAAATACTTGAAGTATATAGTTGAGCTACAAAAGATACTTATGTATTTAACTTAAGTACTGATCCAAATGTTGGTACTTGTACCGTACCTGCAACTTCATTTTTTTTTCAAATTTTACTGGTACTTATTTGATAATACTTACTTAAATATTTTACTTGAAAAACAAAATAAATCCAATAACAATCCAGCACTCAGTTATGCAAGAAGCAACATGTTAGTGTGCGTGTAGACTGGGTAGAAGCACAGAATGTAAAAGCTACTCAAATCAGTCAGCTCAAAACTAATTAAATTATTTTTTGAAATATTTCTACTTAAATGTCATTTCAAGTACTTATGCAAGTTTAACACCATTATATTTCTGAAACTATAAGTCCAAATGAGGCGATTGTAGTCCTTTGAAAGGGATAAAATTCAGTGAAAGATTCAGCTTTCTATCTATAATAGAAAAAAAGTTATGACCTTTCAAAGTTTTACAAAAAAATCATAAGGGGGGTACCTTCTTACTAAAACGATGAAATTTCAAATTTTTTTTTGTCGAGATTTTGTGCCCTAATGGTCCCTCGTGATAACCTGAACTCCATAAACGAAATTATTCTCAGATTTGAAGCCGAAATCTATGAAAAAAGGCACTCAGAAAAATTGAAAAATTGATAAATCACCCTAAATTGCTTAACACGATTTTATCTCAGGAACTATAAGTGCGAATGAGCTGAAATTTTCAGGTATTGTAGTCCTTTGAAAGGGATAAAATCAGTGAAAGATTCAGCTTTCTATCTATAATAGAAAAAAAGTTATGACCTTTCAAAGTTTTCCAAAAAAATCATAAGGGGGGTACCTTCTTACTAAAACGATGAAATTTCAAATTTTTTTTGTCGAGATTTTGTGTCCTAATGGTCCTTCGTGATAACCTGAACTCCATAAACGAAATTATTCTCAGATTTGAAGCCGAAAATCTATGAAAAAAGGCACTCAGAAAAATTGAAAAATTGATAAATCACCCCAATTGCTTAACACAATTTTATCTCAGGAACTATAAGTGCGAATGAGCTGAAATTTTCAGGGATTGTAGTCCTTTTGAAAGGGATAAAATTCAGTGAAAGATTCAGCTTTCTATCTATAATAGAAAAAAAGTTATGACCTTTCAAAGTTTTCCAAAAAAATCATAAGGGGGGGTACCTTCTTACTAAAACGATGAAATTTCAAATTTTTTTTTGTCGAGATTTTGTGCCCTAATGGTCCCTCGTGATAACCTGAACTCCATAAACGAAACTATTCTCAGATTTGAAGCCGAAATCTATGAAAAAAGGCACTCAGAAAAATTGAAAAATTGATAAATCACCCTAAATTGCTTAACACGATTTTATCTCAGGAACTATAAGTGCGAATGAGCTGAAATTTTCAGGTATTGTAGTCCTTTGAAAGGGATAAAATCAGTGAAAGATTCAGCTTTCTATCTATAATAGAAAAAAAGTTATGACCTTTCAAAGTTTTCCAAAAAAATCATAAGGGGGGTACCTTCTTACTAAAACGATGAAATTTCAAATTTTTTTTTGTCGAGATTTTGTGTCCTAATGGTCCTTCGTGATAACCTGAACTCCATAAACGAAATTATTCTCAGATTTGAAGCCGAAATCTATGAAAAAAGGCACTCAGAAAAATTGAAAAATTGATAAATCACCCCAATTGCTTAACACAATTTTATCTCAGGAACTATAAGTGCGAATGAGCTGAAATTTTCAGGGATTGTAGTCTTTTGAAAGGGATAAAATTCAGTGAAAGATTCAGCTTTCTATCTATAATAGAAAAAAAGTTATGACCTTTCAAAGTTTTCCAAAAAAATCATAAGGGGGGTACCTTCTTACTAAAACGATGAAATTTCAAATTTTTTTTTTGACGAGATTTTGTGTCCTAATGGTCCTTCGTGATAACCTGAACTCCATAAACGAAATTATTCTCAGATTTGAAGCCGAAATCTATGAAAAAAGGCACTCAGAAAAATTGAAAAATTGATAAATCACCCCAATTGCTTAAACACAATTTTATCTCAGGAACCATAAGTGCAAATGAGGTGAAATTTTCAGGGATTGTAGTCTTTGGAAAGGGATAAAATTCAGTGAAAGATTCAGCTTTCTATCTATAATAGAAAAAAAGTTATGACCTTTCAAAGTTTTCCAAAAAAAATCATAAGGGGGGTACCTTCTTACTAAAACGATGAAATTTCAAATTTTTTTTTGTCGAGATTATGTATCCTAATGGTCAATCAACATACCCCGAACTCCATACAATAATTTATTCTCAGATTTGAAGCCGAAATCTATGAAAAAAGGCACTCAGAAAAATTGAAAAATTGATAAATCACCCCAATTGCTTAACACAATTTTATCTCAGGAACTATAAGTGTCAATGAGCTAAAATTTTCAGGGATTGTAGTCTTTTGAAAGGGATAAAATTCAGTGAAAGATTCAGCTTTCTATCTATAATAGAAAAAAAGTTATGACTTTCAAAGTTTTCCAAAAAAATCATAAGGGGGGTACCTTTCTTACTAAAACGATGAAATTTCAAATTTTTTTTTGTCGAGATTTTGTGTCCCTAATGGTCCTTCGTGATAACCTGAAACTCCATAAACGAAATTATTCTCAGATTTGAAGCCGAAATCTATGAAAAAAGGCACTCAGAAAAATTGAAAAATTGATAAATCACCCTAAATTGCTTAACACGATTTTATCTCAGGAACTATAAGTGCGAATGAGCTGAAATTTTCAGGGATTGTAGTCTTTTGAAAGGGATAAAATTCAGTGAAAGATTCAGCTTTCTATCTATAATAGAAAAAAAGTTATGACCTTTCAAAGTTTTCCAAAAAAATCATAAGGGGGGTACCTTCTTACTAAAACGATGAAATTTCAAATTTTTTTTGTCGAGATTTTGTGTCCTAATGGTCCTTCGTGATAACCTGAACTCCATAAACGAAATTATTCTCAGATTTGAAGCCGAAATCTATGAAAAAAGGCACTCAGAAAAATTGAAAAAAATTGATAAATCACCCCAATTGCTTAACACAATTTTATCTCAGGAACCATAAGTTGCAAATGAAGGTGAAATTTTTCAGGGATTGTAGTCTTTGGAAAGGGATAAAATTCAGTGAAAGATTCAGCTTTCTATCTATAATAGAAAAAAAGTTATGACCTTTCAAAGTTTTTCCAAAAAAATCATAAGGGGGGTACCTTCTTACTAAAACGATGAAATTTCAAATTTTTTTTTGTCGAGATTTTGTGTCCTAATGGTCCTTCGTGATAACCTGAACTCCATAAACGAAATTATTCTCAGATTTGAAGCCGAAATCTATGAAAAAAGGCACTCAGAAAAATTGAAAAAAAATTGATTAAATCACCCTAAATTGCTTAACACGATTTTATCTCAGGAACTATAAGTGCGAATGAGCTGAAATTTTCAGGGATTGTAGTCTTTTGAAAGGGATAAAATTCAGTGAAAAGATTCAGCTTTCTATCTATAATAGAAAAAAAGTTATGACCTTTCAAAGTTTTCCAAAAAAATCATAAGGGGGGGTACCTTCTTACTAAAACGATGAAATTTCAAATTTTTTTTTTGTCCGAGATTTTGTGTCCCTAATGGTCCTTCGTGATAACCTGAACTCCATAAACGAAATTATTCTCAGATTTGAAGCCGAAATCTATGAAAAAAGGGCACTCAGAAAAATTGAAAAATTGATAAATCACCCCAATTGCTTAACACAATTTAATCTCAGGAACCATAAGTGCAAATGAGGTGAAATTTTCAGGATTGTAGTCTTTGGAAAGGGATAAAATTCAGTGAAAGATTCAGCTTTCTATCTATAATAGAAAAAAAGTTATAACCTTTCAAAGTTTTCCAAAAAAATCATAAGGGGGGTCCCTTCTTACTAAAACGATGAAATTTCAAATTTTTTTTTGTCGAGATTTTGTGTCCTAATGGTCCTTCGTGATAACCTGAACTCCATAAACGAAATTATTCTCAGATTTGAAGCCGAAATCTATGAAAAAAGGCACTCAGAAAAATTGAAAAATTGATAAATCACCCTAAATAGCTTAACACGATTTTATCTCAGGAACTATAAGTGCGAATGAGCTGAAATTTTCAGGGATTCAGTAGTCTTTTGAAAGGGATAAAATTCAGTGAAAGATTCAGCTTTCTATCTATAATAGAAAAAAAGTTATGACCTTTCAAAGTTTTCCAAAAAAATCATAAGGGGGGTACCTTCTTACTAAAACGATGAAATTTCAAATTTTTTTTTGTCGAGATTTTGTGTCCTAATGGTCCTTCGTGATAACCTGAACTCCATAAACGAAATTATTCTCAGATTTGAAGCCGAAATCTATGAAAAAAGGCACTCAGAAAAATTGAAAATTGATAAATCACCCCAATTGCTTAACACAATTTTATCTCAGGAACCATAAAGTGCAAATGAGATGAAATTTTCAGGGATTGTAGTCTTTGGAAAGGGATAAAATTCAGTGAAAGATTCAGCTTTCTATCTATAATAGAAAAAAGTTATGACCTTTCAAAGTTTTCCAAAAAAATCATAAGGGGGGTACCTTCTTACTAAAACGATGAATGAATTTCAAATTTTTTTTTGTCGAGATTTTGTGTCCTAATGGTCCCTTCGTGATAACCTGAACTCCATAAACGAAATTATTCTCAGATTTGAAGCCGAAATCTATGAAAAAAGGCACTCAGAAAAATTGAAAAATTGATAAATCACCCCAATTGCTTAACACAATTTTATCTCAGGAACCATAAGTGCAAATGAGGTGAAATTTTCAGGGATTGTAGTCTTTGGAAAGGGATAAAAATTCAGTGAAAGATTCAGCTTTCTATCTATAATAGAAAAAAAGTTATGACCTTTCAAAGTTTTCCAAAAAAATCATAAGGGGGGTACCTTCTTACTAAAAC